ATGGGAGTCAACTAAATTGTTATTGAAATAGTTCATAACAAAGATAAAAGAAATTTTATAACATATGAAATCGAGGTTAATTAGCATTCTGAAAATAGTCAAAACAGGCCCGGTGATAATGCATTTATAGTGTTCAGTTTACCTGATTTTATCCTTTATTTGGCTGTGATGCAAAACAGATAATTTTTAAGTCACATAAATATATTTTAAACAGTTATTTTTTTTTCAAAATCTTTAAGGAAAGTGAAATAACACTCATTTTATCCAGTTCCTCGTAACACATGTTAATATTTACAATGCAAGTCACATTAATTGTCACTTCACAAATCAATAAACATTGACTAGATAGGTATATATAAAAGTTACTTAAATTACGATTTTCATAATTGTACGTGAACTAACTAACATTAACTATGTCATGGTTCTGAAACGTCCCTGTTGAATGATATTTATACATTATCTAGCTGGAAACAAACAACCACGGTCGCGTGTCAATCTGTTTGACACTTAGGCCGCTATTCCATTTATACGTGATCAGTGGTCCGCGTCCGTCATCCGCATCCGCTACCGATTCGCTAATCAAAGAATACGTGGAATCTATTCCTTTTGTCCGTTTACCATCCGCTTCCGCGACGGCATCCGCGACGTTTCGCAGGATGAGCGATTTTTTACGGACGCGGACAGTCACTGACATGTCTCATCCCTACAAAATGCCTCGAACGAAATTAAATACTTTATCGATTTCGAAAGAAAATACCAAAGAGCTCACCAAAATAGTGTGGGAGAACCTATAAGTATATGATGCAGCAATGACAGATTAAAAAAAGAATCTGGTCTTCGGTTGCTAAAGAGATGTTATTCGAAAACCTAACTGATATTCAATGTTTGTTACCTAATGCTTTGATGTTACAACTGTTTTTGGTATTAGAATGAAATTATATCATATTCTACAAATAAGTATCCTCTATTCGCTATACTTCAATTAAAAATATATAGAAAATAACGTACCTATGGAATAATACCCACGGACATGCCCGGACACGGATCACTGACGCGGGTCACGGATCATGTACTAATGGAATAGCGGCCTTATACCCCGGTCACATATTTACGGAATACGCCCACGGAAGAGCCACGGATTAATTCCGGCATCGTCCGTAGCTACCCGTACTGGTCAGTAGCTCTCCGAATTGTAACCGTAATCAATCGTAGTAGTCCTGGTATATCCGAAGCGATCCTTGACAATTTTTGAACATGCACAAAAATTTGCTACGGAAAAATCAATTAAAACGTACCGATACTTACTGGTCCGTACGAAAACCGTACTAGTCCGTACTGATTCGTAGCCCACCAACTTGTCAAGGATTCCCACGGTTTGGTACGGATAACCTACGTTTAAGCTACGGTTTTAATACGGATTAATACGGAAAGCCACGATCGTAATACGTTGTACTACGGAGAAGCAGGGATTAGCACGGTCTTATACGGTTTATTGCGTTGCAACACGGACTTGTATACGGTCCACCACTGTTTAGAACGGATGAATTAAGTATCATGTACTTTCCAAGGGTACTACCTTCTTGTTAAAAACAGACATATTTGCGGGAACATTCAATAAATTATAATTGCCATTTACTGGCTGCAATTTTATATTGAAATGGCTCAGAATGCGCAGGCAGTGGTCGAGCTGCTAGATGACATGCATAGGGGTAAAATATATTAATATCGTACTACAATTCTTAAGTAATAGAGTAATAACATTTAATGTTACACATTTTACAAACATTGGATCGTGAAATTTGAGTAAATATGTACATAAAACGAAGTGTCTCATAAGCCTTGGACACTGACCCTTGAGTGATAAGAAGATTAATTAACAAGCTTTTTACATATTTTTAAAACATAAACATTCACGATAATAAATATTATTGTAAAAAAACGGCACATTTTAAAATTAAAAGAGAAGCAGTTTTGATCAACACTTTTTTTTAATGATTACTAGTCCATATCTAATCAGGTAAGAGAGGACAGGCAAGATGGTGGACTGGAGATGGGCTTTTACGAAGACCCCTTCATGTTTAGTATGAGGCTCTCATGGCCGAACTTGTTGAGGACCCAGCGTCCTTCAAGAAATTCACTTTTATCGGACCTGATGTGTCTCGGGGGTCAGACGCGATCAGGCCGAATCCTCTCCGCCGAAATCATTAAACTCTGCAATTCGTTTTCCAGGTGTTCTTTTCTTGTGGGGCATTTATGCAAGAGATTGTGGACGGATGTATTAGGTCCGTATAGATCCGTGGCAATTCGTTCTTCTCTGTATCAATTCGTTCTTCTCCGTATCAGACCGTACTTATTCGTACTAACCCGTGCTTATACCGTATCCGTCCTAATTCGTGTCGCTCCGCATCAAACCGTGTCGGTCCGTAACAATCCGTGTCTCTCCGGGGGATTTTGGTGGTAAATCCGTCGGACTCCGTACTTATACCGTTGTGTGTCCGTACTGGAACCGTAGCGGACTACGGAATTTCACATTTCCGTAGTAATCCGTAGCTCTTCCGTGGCATTATCCGTGAATATGTGACCGGGGCTTTACCGGCTGGCCAATCCAAAGGAAGTGTACAATACACATTGTGTAATATTATGTAATACCCCGGTCACATATTCACGGAATACGCCCACGGAAGAGCCACGGATTAATTCCGGCATCGTCCGTAGCTACCCGTACTGGCCAGTAGCTCTCCGTATTGTAACCGTAATCAATCGTAGTAGTCCTTGTATATCCGTAGCGATCCTTGACAATTTTTGAACATGCACAAAAATTTGCTACGGAAAAATCAACCGTACCGTATCCCTACTAGTCCGTATTAATCCGGACTGATACGTAGTGGTCCGTACGAAAACCGTACTAGTCCGTACTGATTCGTAGTCCACCAACTTGTCAAGGATTTCCACGGTTTGGTACGGAGAACTACGTATTTGTACGGTTACCCTACGTATAAGCTACGGATTTAATACGGATTAATACGGCATTGTCACGGAAAACCACGGTCGTAATACGTTGTACTACGGAGAGGCAATGATTATCACGGTCTTATACGGTTTATTACGTTGCAACACGAAACGGTACGGAATGGTACGGTCCACCACTGTTTAGTACGGATGAATTAAGTATCATGTACTTTTTCAAGGGTATAAATACTACCTTCTTGTTAAAAACAGACATATTTGCGGAAACATTGAATAAATGATCATTGCAATTTACTGGCTGCAGCTTTATATTGAAATGGCTCAGAATGCGGAGGCAGTGGTCGAGCTGCTTGATGACATGCATAGAAGTAAATTTATATTAATATCGTACTGCAATTCATAAGTAATAGAATAACATTTAATGATACATATTTTACAAACATTGGATCGTGAAATTGGAGTAAATATGTACATAAAACGAAGTGTCTCAACAGCCTCGGACGCTGGCCCTTGAGTGATAATAAGATTAATTAACAAGCTTTTTACATATTTTTAAAACATAAACATCACGATAATTAATGTAATTGTAAGATTAACATCAAATCTTAAAATTAAAAGAGAAGCAGTATTGATCAACATTTGTCATTAATGATTACTAGTCCATATCTAATCAGAAGAGAAGACAGACGAGATGGTGAACTAGAGATGGGCTTTTACGAAGACCGCTTCATGTTTAGTATGAGGCTCTCATGGCCGAACTTGTTGAGGATCCAGCGTCCTTCAAGAAATTCACTTTAATCGGATCTGGTGTGTCTCGGGGGTCGGACGCGATTAGGCCGAGTCCTCTCTGCCAAAATCACTGAACTCTGCAATTCGTTTTCTAGGTGTTCTTTTCTTTTGAGGCATTTTGAAAATGAGCAAGCAAGAGGTTGTGGACGGATGCATTAGGTCCGTATAGATCCGTGGCAATTCGTTCTTCTCCGTATCAATACGTTCTTCTCCGTATCAGACCGTACTTATTCGTACTTACCCGTGCTTATACCGTAGCAGACCGTAGTGTATCCGTAGTGCGTCCGTCCTGATTCGTGTCGCTCCGTATCAAACCGTGTCGGTCCGTAACAATCCGTGTCTCTCCGGGGGCTTTTGGTGGTAAATCCGTCGCACTCCGTACTCATACCGTTGTGTGTCCGTACTGGAACCGTAGCGGACTACGAAATTTCACATTTCCGTAGTAATCCGTGAACGATTAGACCGTAGCTCTTCCGTGAAATTATCCGTGAATATGTGACCGGGGCATAATACAGGGGTAATAAAATTTAATCTTTAACACCCTGCTGTTTAAATTTAAATTACGGATGAAAAGTCGTCTTATGATACCTTAAACAGACGACTTTTGTGTGCGCCTTTTGACCATTGGATTATTAGTCCTGCATATTTAATATATATGTTATAAATATCAATTGACGTTTAAGTACTTACCGCTTTAAGTCAGTCCAAAATTACTGTTTTCTGGTTGATACAACATGGAATCACGACTATTAAAGCCTTAAAGTATCATACACTGTTGTCAATTTTATTGCGCTTTTGCCCTACGCAGAATGCGCATGCGCGAAATGCAACATTGGTGGCTATGAAAGAATCGTATTGTAAAAAGGTCTATATGACAATAGGTAAAACGTGATATCAATGTACATTTCAAAATAGTCTAACGATTGACATTGCTAATAGAACCTTAATGAAAATGCTTGAAGTGAATTATTGCTTAATTTGAGTTCATTCGGCTCGAATCGAAAATTAGAGAATTAATGGCTTTTAGCAATATCTGGATTAAGAGGGATGTTATCATCAGCATCCACATACTTTTATTTAATATATATATTTATATTTTATAATGATTTGCATTATTAAATGATAAAATTTATCATGTTTGACTCTATTTGGATAAAATGCCGCCTTTACAACTTAAACATTAAATAATGGTCGATGTATATGTTTTTTTCTGTATTAGTAACTCAAATTTGTTTTTATTTCAGGAGTTCCCGGCATTATCAACAATGCCTGTAAGATGTCCAGTTTCAGTTTTCCTAAATTGGCAGTACCGACCGACACATCATCACGGAAGATCCTGCATGCCTGTAACCGACTAGCCACCCAGTTGTCGCCCATTGAGACCAGACATGATAATAAATATGTTACGGTAAGTAGGCTAATAACGTAACACATTTTATTTTTATTTTAAGAAATACAACTTCTCCAAAGTTCTGAGAAATGAACTTTTCCAAGGAGCAATCTTTTTAATTTCCAATTTTAGTGTCATTTTAATTTTGATAGTCACATGCTTTTCAGTGGGGGTAGGGGCTTTCATGGGGATATCGACCCATTTGTTTCCTTGAAATAATTTGACAATTTCTATTGTTGCATGTCAATGTAATTCACAGATGTATGGTTTCATAATGTTACAAGTTATGTTATAAGTTCATACTTTTATTGCACATCCAAAGAAATTAAGCCGGTAGTTTCCAGCTTATGAAAATATAAAATTTAATAGCATAGTATTGAATTCGACTTTTCTCGTCTAAGTTTCTTATAACGGTCCCCGACAATTCAGATGAATAACAATTTTAATACCACTTTCCATTCAATGGCAAGCACGGTGCTTTTTGCAAATTGTTAACGATTTTTGTATTCACCTGAAGGGGAAAAAGATATATTTTTACCCGATAGCACACTAGCAATGAAAAAATGTTCATACATGTATTATGATTTAGATAACAATAGTTATAAATAGCTTATTGTTAAATAGTTCGTGGTGTTCTCCGGAACAATGGCTGAGTGTATCGTAAATTTTCAACTATTCAACAATTTAATTTTTCTTTCTTTTGCTTTTGTTGCCGCTGAATTTACCAATGTTTTCCCCACCAGAAATATTATTTACTTCAAATTCTTTCGAGTTGAACATTAAAAACTGTACTGTAGCGCTACGTTAACTTGTAGTCAGTAGGAGTATTCCCTTTATAATGCTTTTTGATCTCATTGTGGTGCCGTTATATGTCTCAACGACGCTAAATGTCACACTTACCGCTAAATGTCGCACTATTACCGCTAACTGTCGCAACCACCGCTAAATATCTCAAAATTTGTTGTCGTCAAATGTCGCAACACTACCGTTAAATGTCACACCATTTTTCCTTTACATTATACTACCGTTACATGTCGCAACATCTAAATTCATGTTAAACAACTCCTGTAATGACAATATTAACGTTATGTAGGTGATGTAGGGACTATAGCTATCAATCAGATAGGAAAGGATTGCTGTGATGTACAAAGTAATTGATTGAAATTGTCATCTTTAGTAGTCGGTATTATGAATTGACGACCAGAAATTATGCCAAAGACCACCTTGGTGATAAAACACATTTGTATATGTTTTTCATTTAGCAGTCCAGGTGTCGTGGATTCGAGCTACGACATCAGCTTGAGATGGATCTAACTCACCGAGAAGAAAGAAATATTTTTTATTTTGTTACAAGTATCCAACAAATTACAACGCATTCAAAGTTTTAAAGTAGCGTTGGCTTAGAATTGTCAATAAATGCACAATTACGCGGATGAATATCATTTTAATCAATTTAGCGATGTCGATTACCGAATACTCGTACATCAGAATAAATCTGACTGTCGAGTAGTGGAATATATATATATATGTCGGAAGGTTTTGGCGAGAAGATTTTCGCTTAAACACCAGGTTTATCGTGAACAAAATACCTCGAAATTAAGGATTACAAATCCAAAATGGAAATTCCAAATTTAGAATTATTTGATTTTATTAAGGCTTTCTTCGTATACATCCCCGTGCTGAAGGGGTCACGCGCTCGTTTAGGGTGTCAGAGGTCTGCGGTTCAAATCCCAGTCGAGGCAACTATTTTTTTAAGAGTCTTTTTAAGGAAGTAGCCACGATGTGCAAGGATAAAGTGTGGCTGTCATAAAAAAATGAACATGAAATGAAAAATGATTTTTTGATGCAACTCTGATCATGCAAAATTCCGTATGTATCAAACTCAAACTGTTATAGTAAAAGATCTAAACGCAGTCGTTGCATCTCGGTGCCCTGTAAGACGAATTATAGTATATAAAAAATAAACTTATACAGGAAAATACATACATATATACAGTACGATTTAGATTGTAAAGATCAGAAAATACCACAGAGCTTGCAGTCCTTTGATTCGAAATAATTTTACCCGTTTATCAACCTTGCAAACTGAACCAGCTCTGTACTTATGGCTTACTTTAGTAATTTCTATCTTTATAGACAGTTCTAAAAAATGGGAGCTTTGAAAAGTGAATTTTACAAATTCAGCGGGTAAGATAAGACTTGCAAATATATTTAGTCTTGCCAGTTTCAGAATTGTCGGCTGCTCAAGGTTTTTGTTCTTTTTTTTGCAGCCCATCACATTACCTTTTTATTACAAGTAAAATAAGTCGAATATTGAGATGAAATGTGTACTATGGCAAAAATACCTTCAATGTTTAATGCATATAGAACGTTTTTGAAACGTCCATGTTATGCAAAATTAAAATAATTCTGTCATATACAGAGAATGAAAAGTAGAAAAATCTTAAACTCAAAATTTTTCAAAAAAATCATATATGATATTTTTAAAATTTCAAAGCGGACCTTAAAGGACTTAAACTGATACCCCGCTTGGTTTGCATTACTTTTGTCGTATGTAAACCAATTCAAGACATATCTGTTAGAATTAGCCTCTTTATCAATAAAATAAGGCAATGACATAATTTTTAAGACTGCCCTTTATCAAAAGGGCGGAAAGCTCTTTGTCCCTTTCTCGTAAGAGGAGGGGAATCCTGTGATGCGTGTATGTGGTCGCACGGTCACTTTCCTTATATGTCTCGATGCATGGATGTGGTCGCATTGTCGAAAATCTCAGAAACAACGATTGCAAAGATGTGTAGGTATGGAACCGTCTTGTGCAAAATCTTAATGTTCTAAAAAAACTGTTGAAATCGTAATTAGGATTTTAAAAGCCTCATTACCACTTTTTACTTCTTTTTGGGAGTAAAACTCTAATAACTTTTTCATTTGTAATTAAAAAATAATTTGAACTTTTAACCTTCAAATAGGGTTTTTATACCAAGAAAAAAATAGAATTTTATATATTTCTTAATAAGTGTTTAAAACTTCTAATTGGGACTTTAGATGCTAAATTATTTTTAAACATTGAAAAGTCCTTAATTTAAACTAACAGAAGTAACAAAGTCCTAATTAAAGTAATTATTAGGTTTTTATAACTCTTTACTATTTCAACAGTTTTTAAGAACATTAGGATTTTAATTTGCACCAGACGGTTCGTACCAAAATTCGTTTGAAAACGTTGTTAATATATTAGGAGATTATCGAACATTTACATACACGGAGGACAAGTAAGGGAAGTGACCGTGCGACCAAATACACGCATCACATGATTCCCCCTTCTCTTACGAGAAATGGACAAGGAGTCGTCCTTCCTACAGGGCAAATTTTAAAATATCCATCTCAAGCTGATGTCGTAGCTCAAATCCACGACATCTGGGCTGCTAAATAAAAAACATATACAAAAAGGGGCTTTTTGGCATGAAATGTAATCGTCAATTTGTAATACCGACTAATTTCATTTTATTGCTCCCGGTGGATTTCTACTTCTACAATAATATTTTTCATTTTATGTTCTTGGTAGCAAGTGACGACCTCGTGATCATCTGAAACTGCTTCGTCATTGAATATACATGTATGTATCATTCACAACAAAAACACTCTCCTCCTACATGTATTCAGAAAATTATACCATTTCTAAAATAAGAACGACAGACTATCTTATTACTTTTCTAAATTAGTTTGTCTATTCACTGTCAACTGTAAATTCATTCTTAGAAAATTAGTCTCCAAGTCGAGAAGGAACATGCACCAAATGTTTTGGATTCAGTGAACTAGATATTGAAGATAATTTCTTAGAAATGTAATATTTTGTGACAGAGTACATTACGGGAACCGATATAATTATATCATTTTCTTTGATGTTTTAGTTATTTTAGGCAAAATCCTAGTTAACATGCATGTATTGTACAAGTTTTATTTTTTTATTGTATAAACTATCGGACGAGTCGTGCTTTTTTTTAAAACAACCATGCACTCTTGACTGAAATATGTTTGTAATTATAAGAGCAAATTAAAGTGAAATTCTCAAATTCCTAAAAATGTAGTTACGCATTGAAATGGATAATTTGAGATCTGCAACTTGTTAAGGTGGAACGGTAACCCTACAACACGGTAAACTCATTATGTTGATATTCGACAGTGACACGTTTGCGCATGCAACAGCTTATGCAATTATAAATAAGTTGGAAACACCCGTGTGTTCATACTATCGTAATCATGGACAAAATAATAATCTATTTTAATGTGGCAATACTGATTAATTAATTAAATTATTGATCACTTTCCACTCACGTATGACGACTTCTATGTGTGTGACTTGGACGACTGTATGTTATCGCCATGTAACTGATATTCTTAATAGAAATATTGAAGTGAAATTACAAAAAAGACTCTTCAGAGAGTGCGCAAACGTATTTGTTTGTAAAAAAACTTTGGATTTATTAGTGAAAAAATCAATTCAAAGTGTTACAAGTTATATAAGAGAAAAATAATTACATATTTTGGACTATATAAATTTAAAACATTTTATTTTAAACCGAACTTTACGGATTTTGAATTATTAAATACAAAAACCACTTTGATTTATTTATTTACTTTTTAAAATGTAAGTCTCAATATAAAGAAATAAAAAGTTGTACTGTATTTCTTTTAAAGGTATGTGGTTTTATTGATTTTAATATATATCTTTTTAAAATCATACTTTAGTTTTAAAATGAATTTGAAGACACGCTCTCTTTGTAAACATAAAGTTCGGTGCTGACAACAGCACCAATAGATCAATAAAATACGAGGTGCCAATGGCCGAGTGGTTAAGGTCGCTGACTTCTAAGCACCTGCCTCCTACCGCTTTAGGTTCGAGCCGAGTCAGCGACTTTCGATTATTATATGCCGGAAAGAATTTTGGGCATATTATGTTATACCCCCTGGCGTCCGTCCGTCCGCAATTTGGTTTCCGGAGCATAATTTAAGCCATTTGGCCAACATTATTCAAACTTCATAGAATGATTGTCCATAGTGGTAGATACCACTATTGATTTTGGGATCACAAGGTCAAAGGTCAAGGTCATTATTACCTTAAAACTGAAAACAGTTTCCGGAGCATAACTTAAGTTCCATTTGGCCCACAATATTCAAACTTCTTAGGATGATTGTCCATATTGGGTAGAAGATCACTATTGATTTTGGAGTCACAAGGTCAAGGTCACTTTTACCTTCCAACTGAAAACAGTTTCTGGAGCATTACTTAAGTTCCATTTGGCCCACAATATTTAAATTTCATAGGATGATTGTCATTAATGGGTAGAAGATCCCTATTGATTTTGGGATCACAAGGTCAAAGGTCAAGGTCACTATTACCTTAAAACTGAAAACAGTTTCCGGAGCATAACTTAAGTTCCGTTTAGACCACAATATTCAAACTTCATAGGATGATTGTCCATATTGGACAAAAGACCCCTATTGATTTTGGGATCACAAGATCAAAGGTCACTATTACCTTAAAACTGAAAACAGTTTCCGGAGCATAACGTTAGTTCAATTTAGCCCACAATATTCAAACTTCATAGGATGATTGCCCATATTAGGTAGAATACCCCTATTGATTTTGGGGTTACAAGGTCAAAGGTCAAGGTAACTATTACCTTAAAACTCAAAACAGTTTCTGCTCAATAACTTAAGTATTAATCAACCTACAGCTGTAAAATTTTATAGGATGAACGGCCTGGTCCAATACATGACCCCTTTCGATTTAGGGTCATAAGGTCAAAAGTCAGGGTCATAACGATCTTTACACTCAAAATTGTGGTTTCTGGAGCATAACTTAAGTTCCATTGGCCCACTGTGTTCAAACTTCATAGGATGATTGTCAATATTGAGTAGAAGACCCCTATTAATTTTTGGGTCACAAGTTCAAAGGTCAAGGTCACTATCATCTTAAAACTGAAAAGGGTTTTCGCTCAGTAACTTAAGTATGAATCAACCTACAGCTGTAAAACTTTATAGGATGAACAGTCATGTTCAATACATAACCCGTATTGATTTTAGGGTCATAAGATCAAAGGTCAGGGTCACAATGACCTTAACACTAAACATTGTGCTTTCTGGAGCATAACACAAGCTCCGTTTGGATTGCAGTGTTCAAACTTCATAGGATGATTGCCTATATTGAATAAAAGGTCCATGTCTATATTGGTGTCACAAGGTCAAAGGTCAATATCAAATGACCTTAATATTGTTAGCAGTATAACAACTGTCAAACTTCATAGGATAATCACTTATATTGAGTACATTAATTATTTGCCCTAAAAAATTTGCTTATATTATGTTATACCCCTGGCCTCTTTCTGTCCTTCCGTCGTAGCATTTTTACTTACAAGATAACAATTTGATGGTGGTGCTTTTGAAACAGCAACTATATATATATATGAAGGTTCTTCAGCTATAAAGGAGGATTGCTTTTTGAAGGAGGTAATAATTTATTTAATTCCCATGTCTTACAAATGCTTCATCCTTACTAAAAAACAACACTTTCGAGCATATAATGTCCCGCGTTGTGGTGCTCTTGTTTCATATGAGAAAGCTATCAAACTAGCTTACGGAACTTCGTTTGTTCTACTTAGGTGCCCGTTTGTGCTTGAAATAATGCATATAGGGGCTTCTGAGGTCTTCTTCTACCAATAAAGCTGAAAAGTCGTCATATGACCTTAGGTATACTGTGTTGGTGCGACGTAAAAACCAAACCAAAAAAAAAATATATATATATTTACAACATTTGAAGCTAAATTGTTAACTGCAGGCTGGATGCTTCAAATTTGATACAATTGATGTTTAACTTACGTGAGTGAAAGAAGGTCAATTCATAGATTATATTATATTTATTGCGCATTATTACCTACATGTATTTTAATTGATTTATTCTTCATATATATTCATATATGTTGATCTTGTATCTAGGATGTAATCAGTTTGATTCTGTTATTCAATGTTCATAACATGTCAATATTGACTTTACTAACCATTAATTATATCTTCATAATATGTTAAATTTAACACGTGATTTAATCACATACAGTAGAACACCTCTATTAAGACCGCCTTGGTCTTGTTATCGGTCAGGACATTTGGTGTTGGTAGCAGTTTGAAATAGACGCATGATTTACTGCGGAATGGCACGATTTACTTTGCGAGTCGTCAATAAAAACAAAAGTACAGATATAACGTTCACATTCAGCAGATTTACACTTCAGGACCAATTCAGGTTCTTGTTTTGTTGCAAAACATTTTTATTTACATTTTCCTCAAATGGAAGGACAATTAATGTTTTCTTATCTCCGTATACAAATAATAGACTGTGCAACTGTCTGTAGTTTACCGAGATTTAATATCGTGGAACCGTGTATACCATGTTTATTTTGTTTGTCATTTGCTTATTAAAAGTTTATATATCGTTTAATTGAGATTAATTTAATTAATATACAATGCATAAGAATAAACCATTACGAGCGTATCAGCTTTGTCTATATATAAATAAGATACATGGTGTCGGATTCCTGGTACAATATATATACGACATTGACTCGTATCCGTCATGTCACAGTTAATATAGTACGATTAAATAAAATTTTCGTGTCGTAATGCTTCCCCTTTGATTTCAACAACTACGCAGATCTAAACAGACATTCGTCTACCTAGCAATTCTTTCGGTGTGCACAGATGACCATTCTTTCGCAGCCATTTTACTCTTGCGTAGAACCTTGCTTGTTTCTGTATTTACAATTTGTAAAGTGCTATCTATATTTATAATTTCTATAATTAGTGATATCTTAAATGGGTTGATTATAATATTAAACATCTAGGAATGTTGTGTTCTATTTATAGATGAACAGCGTAATGGCTGTCGAGGACACGGACGATACTTTGAGTGTTTCTAGTGCTGATCTTACCGACATGTTGATGGCATCAAGAGATTTCCTTAATTCTTCCAGATTTGACGATGCTGAAGCAGGCTTCCTCAAACTTTATAAAGAAATTCAGGTAAATATATTAATTTCTAGTTATATATAGAAGTCGAAACTTACATTTAAGCTGTAAGAAAGCTTAAAAAATTACACTGCTTCATTAAAACTAGAATGTGACCATGTATGTTAAAATAGTACGAAGCCCCTAAGGTGACATTTTCCACATTTTTTTTCCGGAACTTAATTCGTTTTTACAAAAAAAAAATTCGTAATTACTAAATATTAATTCGTAATTACGAAATATTAATTCGTTTTTACGAAATATTAATTCGTTTTTACGAAATATTAATTCGTAATTACGAAATATTAATTCGTTTTTACGAAATATTAATTCGTTTTTTACGAAATATTTATTCGTAGTTACGAAATATTAATTCGTTTTTACGAAATATTATTTCGTAATAACGAAAAATTAATTCGTAAAAACGAAATGTTATTTCGTAATTACGAAATAATAATTCGTAAATACGAAATAATATTTCGTAAAAACAAATTAAATTTTTCAAGGGTTTCAAAGAGTTTTGGTAATATTTATAAAGAAGGCATTGGAACTAAGTTCCTGACTAAATACAAGCCATGTAAATGAAATATAAATTGTGATTTTTTTTCTCCCCAAGTTTTATAACTTAACACTATTGTATATAAATTAAAATAATAGCCTTTTAATAACGTTGCCGCTACAGTCGTGATAGTACACGCGCTAGGAAAATTTTGTTAAACTGGGGGTCCTGTGCTTCTAATCCAAACACGGACATTTTTTTTCTGCTTCGTTTTGTCGATATTATTGAGTTTTGAAATAAAATATTATGTTTCTATGATCTCACGGTGCCCATACATAAATTGTAAGGAATTATACTGAAAATCTGGAGAACCCCCTTTTGGTATTACTCATGTATATAATAAAGGAAAGTAATAATATAGCATGTTTCTTTTTTTAAAGAAACATGTCAGAAAAGTTTAATCGTCTCAAAAATTAAAACATTGCTGATGGGAACATGTATTTGACAATGAGGAAAAGAGGATATTTTGGATTGAGAATGACTTCTCACTCAAAAACCTTGTTCACTTAAATATAATAACTTTAGAACCATTCGGCTGAAAACCAGGCTTGTGAATGACCCCTTTGTGAGATTAGTTGTTTTTTTGTCAAACTCACAATGACCTTAAATAAGATTTCGTATAAACGAATTTATATTTCGTAATTACGAATTAATATTTCGTAAAAACGAATTATTATTTCGTAAAAACGAATTATTATTTCGTAAAAACGAATTTATATTTCGTAATTACGAATTAATATTTCGTAAAAACGAATTATTATTTCGTAAAAACGAATTATTATTTCGTAAAAACGAATTAATATTTCGTAAAAACGAATTAATATTTCGTAATTACGAATTAATATTTCGTAACAATCGTGACAATTCGGGCGATTCCGTTATACTGCGGAATCAGACGAAGTAATATTACGGAAATCTAAGCTATTTTTAGTTACTTCGGTAATCCCAGTTTGTTTATATCTATTTTTACTTGATTTATCAGTTTAAAGCAGAAATAAATTATAAACGAAAATGTTCCGTTTCAATTCGTTTTCAAGACGCAAAAGTTAGTTTCTTTAATGATTGATTTTGGTCTTCATTAGTTTTTTTACATAGAGAATAGCGTCATCTAAAAATAGCCCATGCATATCATTAACCTTACCACGTGCTGATCTACAGATAGCGCATCCTGTGTTGTCGGTATAGACAAGTGACATATATTTTAGTGTAACATAGTTGATACATGCATATTAATTGGTACAACGTTACGAAGTCTTTAAGCGCATTTACTTGTCTATAAAGCTGCTATTTAAATGAAATTAGCAAAGTTCTGCCAACACGAATGACTCTCTCTCTCTCTCTCTCTCTCTCTCTCTCTCTCTCTCTCTCTCTCTGGAAATGAAACCCTTCAGTATGATTATTAGATAGCTCCACGTGGGAGAGCCAATGTTAGTATTTTTATGATTGATTATTATCTTTATTAGTTTTATACAATAGAGAATAGATTTCAAATCGTTTTTGACAAAAAAAAATATTCGTTTTTTTACAAAAAAAAGTTACTGTTATCGTCAGCATGTTCCGGTTTAGTTATAATCAGTGGACTTCTGGTCCTTCTTTTGTTCAAATTTGCATGCATAACACTGGTGGCACAAATGGGCACAGGTGCTCGTCCAGTCTTTTTTTTTTGAAAATAAAGACTAAATAAACCCTTTATGATATACAAATAATTATAAAAAAATAGTGATAATAAATTGACCCTCTATACCTGTAAAAACATAGGTACCTTGTTTTTACTAGTATATAAGGTCAATTTATTATTATTTTTTTATAATTATTTCTTTATCATTAAGAGTTGATTTAGGAGGTTTTTTTAAAAATCATTCATCACTGGGCAAGCCTCTCCTTTTAAAAGGAAACTTTATTTATACCTCATGTTATCAATACCGAGATGCAATTGTCTGTTTTAAAGGTAACCTTTTATCCTTTCACATTGCACAGTCTGTATATACTGGTAACATGTGCAGTATCAGGGTTAAAAGATAACAATTTAACAACAGTTAACAAACCTTTATACACAAACAATAAAAAACGTAAGCATTTTATTTTATTCACTTCTTCTTACTTTTTTTATGCAGTCACAAAAGTACTTTAACGCATTCTGAAAATTGTTTGAATTGCTATGTAATGATACTTAGTATGTTATTTGTAAATCCCCCTGAGGTATAGAAAGCCAAGCCAGGTCATTTTAATCATACATTCAAGCGCTCACGGGGACGCATCTGTCTCCATCTAAAATAACCTTAATCCCTTCACGCTGTTTTTGTTATTGCTTTAAAGTATCTGACACAAACACTAAATATGTAACTGTAGTGACTTTAACGTGAACACATACATGTAAAATTTGAAACAAGATATGATAACTCTCTATCATATACAGTATTCTCTGATCATAGCTATATTATTTTCATAAGCACGTACGAGGGCTGTTCAAAAAGTTCGTGGACTGCGGCTCTACTGTTCACATCTTTTAATTTACGTATATGATTTTACAAGAGTCATATATGAAAATAAGTCCTTAATAAACAGTGAAAAAAATCAAAAAAATAGTCATCTTTTCGCTCCATTGTCCGTATAAAGGTCCGAGTGCCGCATACTTTCCGCTCTTTATCGGGATTTTTGAGTAATTTCGACACATAACGGACAGTGTTATTAAGTTAATTCAATTGTTGATTTATAGTATCAATTTGAAACCGCCCTCGTCCGATCTTTAAACAATATGATTATCCATGATAAAGAAAAATATTTTATCAAATAACAATTATTCTATGCGGTAAATCTACTGAACACCGGCTAGCATTAATTGTCAAACGGACCAGGGTAAATACACGTAATACAAATAATAACTACAATTATTTATTGTAAATACGCATATATCCTGATGAATGAAATAAAATATTATTTTAATTAAATTAAATTGTTTTGTCAGAATTGAATGCATAGACCCGATGCAGAAATTAAACATGTCGGACATCTCGCAAAACTTTCATAATGTCTGGACTTCTGGCCCCGTGTTCACAAAGATTTAAGGATCAGGATCAAGATCAGGATCAAATTTAAAAACCCTTATATTCTTCATGTCTGGACTTCTGTAGATCTTTTGCAATTGACGTTACAAATGTCCCAACAATTTGCCGCTAAAAATTATCCGTCGCCGTTTCTGTCTACATGTGAGCATGTATTTGCCGTCTTTGAATCGCTTGCGCGACCTGAAACCAAGAGACTTGCTCGCCAACTCATTGTTCTTCGTTAATTTAATCACCTCATAAAAATAGAAAAGGAATATCCCACATTTATTGGTAATAATTTCCGAAAGAGCGAATTTCTAGTTTTTAAACGGGCTTTATACTTCCCAACTTACCCGTCTGTCTACTGCTGCTCAAAACCTGTTTGTTCAGCTATTCAACGTCCAAACGACGTCAAATTTCAGATTTATGTCATTTAAATATTAATAGATGATTACTTGTATTTTACTTCATAAAACAATCATTCAGTTTGTTTCAACATTTGTTTATATTTAAACATTATATGAAAATTTCGGCGTGCGCCGATGTTGCGTTGCCATGGTTATTAAAGTGCACATAACTCGTAAAGGAAATAAAAGTTAACAATAAAAGTAAATCTTACTTTTAGAAATAAAGACACTCTTTCATATCCACTAAGGGTGTTTTTATGAACCAAGTAAAAAATGACAGCAAAAATCCACAAACTTTTTGAACATACCTCGTATTATGGTTGATTTTCCTCTATTGAAATATTTGAGTTTATTTGAAATGACATATACGGTTTAATCAAAAACGACGGAATAACATCACTCAACTACTCTGTAAGATGTATGAAAATATCTCTATTTCTTTGTTACATAAACAAAAACGGATTGTGATTAATTATGTACACACGAATTATTTTAGTTCGATCTCCTGAAATAGTTCATCTAATCGTAAATGATAAAAATCGCGTGCAATGATGCAGACTCGTTCATTATTAAATAGCGTGGAGGCAACATTGCAGACGCATTCAGTCCAACAAAATACATCATGTAAGAAAATGCCAAGATACCAGTCGCCAGATCTTTCAGTTTTCGGCAAACTTATATCAATAATTATTTCACGTTATAATGACATATGGCTTGCATTTTATGATATAATTAATCTAGAAATAGTTTCACACATTTCCTAAGACATTTCATTTACAAAAAAATACCTTTTTGTTCAATAGGAAAAACCGGAAGACAATGGTCGCCTGCTTGTAGAAACGCTGACGGGTTTGGCGGATATATGTATTCGGAGGAGCAGAATGTGTCGCTCCAATCCTCTTGAATGGCAATGGTTATGTATGCATGCCATCGCTCTCCTCCAATACACGGTCGAGTTTTGTGACTCCGAACTGGAAAATCAGCTCGATAACGAGGCAACAGAATGGTACCAGGAGCAAAGACAAGCGTCTGAACTGAAATGCCGACCTCTTGAAGACGCTTTTACCAGAGCACTTTACAACTGTCTAAAACATGACGCAAACTTTTTCGATCCTTTTCAGTCATTTTCATTGCCAAATACACCCGTATCCCAGCAAAGGAAACCAAATTTATTTCCCCTTAGTTCAACAATGCCACAATATCTTTTGGTTCCGGGCATGAGTTACAGAGTAACTGATCAAGGACTTAAAAAGCAGAGCTCGGATGATTCCGATGTAGCTGTTGATTGGTTGGCGAAATTTCAGTTTTATTGCAAAGATAGACTTCAAACAAAAGACGCAAAATGTGTTACAGAGAAAGTGTTGAAGTCCACAAAAAGTACGGAAAATGATGACACAGAAAGTTTAATGAGCCACGGGTCACATGGTTCTTTAGACTGGGATAATAGTGACCTTCACGGTATTGAAGAATTGGAAATTGACATTACTGAAAAAGAATCACCACTCACTGATTATTCTCTCGAGTATGAACTTGCTTCAAGTGAAACAGATAATGAAGGTTGGGATTTCTTCCTTCATCAGCGCCGAAACTGTGATTTGCAAAGCGTAGTACAAGTGGTGGCCAATGAAGAGGAAAAATGTGATGTGTATGAAAGAGAAAACCCTAGTTTAGATAAAGAAACACAGGATATCTATCAACAAGAAAAGTCAGAAAAGACACGTAGAAAGCACCACGAGCCTCGGGATATTGTATCTCCTCTTCATGCCCATAGCATCAGTTTAACTCTGGCTAGATCATTTTGTCGTCTTGCGGACAAATTGGTACAAGAGGAAGAGTACAAGAAGGCGGAAATAGTGTACGAGAAAATTCTTGATATAATCGATGCAATTCAAGACGGTACTGCAGGCATGCTAAGATTCAGTGCACGTATCATGAAAAATCTTGGTACTGTTAAGTCAAAGCAGGGAAAATCTTCATCTGGTCTTGTTCTCTTAAACAAAGCCCTAAACACATACCGAGATCTCCAAGATGAAGAAGCTAATTTTGAAATAGCTGTAGCTCTTATTGAACTTGGTAATGGATATATTGTCGGTAAAAATCATGAGGATTCGGTATTCGATGATGTAATCATAGCAATTTGCGATTTCTTTGAAAAAGATGCCAGTGATTCATCTTCAACATCAACATCAAGCTCGGTTCAATCGCATATTTCTCAAATGACATCATCTTTGACATCAAATACCGAAGATAGGAACGTAGAAGAAGCGGTTATGTGTTATACCGAGGCTATATCGCTACTTGATTGTTATGAGGCAGACGAGAAGCAAGTTGATATGTTCGCAAAAGCTATAATGAGACTTGGAGATTGTCATTTTATGCAAAAAGACTACGACAAGGCTCTTGAATGTTATGAAAAGGCTCTTAGTATGTTTAGAACATACAATATATTTGGCAAAGACTCCCTGATGGAAAATGCGCACGTGCTTTGTATGCTTGGTGTTTCGAGTTTTATGTTGCACGTGTATCCAAGAGCAGCATCGGTGTTCGAAACAGCATTGCACATGGTGCGATGTGCTTATGGTTTTAAACGAACATTTTTAAATGGCATGTTACAATCTCTCTCTGGAATTACATACTACAAAATGAAAAACTATCACAAATGCGTGTCTATGTGTTACCAAGGCTATGAAACCTATTGTGAGCTTTTTGGAGAAGGTATGCCACGCCTGGATAAGCAGAAATTCTGGTTGGTCTGCCAGACGCTATATGTCATGGGAAACTCATACAATATCCTCAGTTTACAACAAAAGGCCATGAAGTACTTATCAATTGCGCGTTCGCTCATGAAATCATCAAAAAGTAGAGAACGAAGGCAGTTCATGCGTGTTTTGCAAATTCTCGGTGATTGTTATTTTGCTAACTATGATTACAAAACAGCCTTGCAGTTTTACAATGAAGCTTTGGAATATGGAGAATGCGAAAGTTCCATTTCCTTTGATGAAGTCTTTGATCCTAATTGTGCCTCAGATGAGATGACAATTCATAACCATCTAGTGAGCAAATCTGCCGAAGCACATCTTAGTATGCAGCAATATCAGAACGCTGTCCACTATCTTGAACAAGCACATGATATGCAAGAGGTGATGGGAGAAGATATTAAAGGCGATCTTATAAACACACTGCATCAACTAGGTCATATGCATTCGGTCGCGGGAGATGTTGACAAAGCTATTGAATCGTACAAAGAATGCCTCGAAGTATTTAGAGAAATTCACAAAGGTCAACTTGAACCCGAAATGTGTACCACTTTAGGGAACCTTGCGGCGATCTGTTATGTGAAAGCTTGTATCGCAGACACTCTCGAAGAAGAAGATAAAATGACGCGTAACGCTGATGCTTACTTTGTTGAAGCATTGGCTCTTGAAAATAATGCAGAAGTGTGTGTAAAGTATGGCAGTTTTCTGTTTAGTCAATGTCATTTTGAGAATGCAATAGTGCAGTTTTGGAATGCTTTGCGAAATGACAATGCAACTGCAGATATTGTGTACAGAGGATTGGAAAAGGTCACACTTCCGGAATTACTTCAAGATGAAGTTGATACACACGACGAAATCTGCTTACCTTCTACTTGTCTAGCAAGATACTTGCTAATCTTAAGTCACAAAGCGCTGCATGAGCTAGATGAAGCAGAAATAAATCTAATTTGTTTAATGGAAGAGGTGATAGACTACGACGTCCCCTTGTTGCATTCTCTTCTTGGTTACGCAATGATGGAATTGATGTTGTTTGAAGAAGCAGCAGAGTGTTTTTGGACGGCAGCTGAGACCGAGGAAGAATATCAATTAGCTTGCGAAAACTACTGTATCTGTCTTCTCATACTGCTGCAGAAAACTATTATCACCGGCCTAGAAAATATTCTGGACTATGTATCAAAGAAAAATTCAAATTTTTGTATTGATTATTCTATTTAAAGGCACAAAATGTATGCGTTCATAGCAATCTTTTATCTTGACTACTTTACACTAGTGCTTGTCCTTTTTATGTGTATATTTCAGTGATAGTTACCAGTATACTGCTAATGAATCTATTTACAAATTTGTAAAGACCTGTATATATTATAACTTGCCAAAAGCATGCACTCTCATTTTTTTATTTACTTGATTAATTTCATGTGTTAATGAAGCACAAAGCGTTAAAATAAACCGGTTAGAAAAACTATAGATAAAAAATGCATTAATTTCAACAATATTGCACAATTTATTTTGCAATTATTCAATTCATGCATTAAATTAATTCTATATGCGACCTGCTATGCTTTGCTTGACTATTTGGTATAGTACAATAGGTTTTTGTTAAGCAAAATGCAACTTCATGCGAATGAACTTTCTATGAAAATCGAAATTTGCAACTGATGATAGAATGTGAAAACATCTGCTTGCGGGATTGTTAAAACTACTAGCTTAACTTAATTTTGCGGGTGCATTGTCTTTTGCCTTGTGTTTAGTTTCGGCAAGGTAATCAAGCAATTATCGGGATATTTTTACGTTTTGTAGTTTTTTTTTCTTTTATCGGTCAGTAAATTTGAATTCAAGGCAAAAGACATCAAATTATCTACAGATATGACACTTTATGTAACCTTGATCGGACTTTATCAAGTAATATTCAATTACTCTGTAGAAATATATACAAACACAAATTCTTACTTTTCCTAATTACGCATTGACACCTCATCGCATTTATTCATCCATTGTGTGTGTGTGTATAGATTATTCCAGCACTTATTTAAAGCTGCATTTAATAAATATGTAAAACTATTTTGCCGTCGGCCTAAAAACAAAGCATTCATTAACCTTTTTAACAGTATTGTTGTAAATCTCATAAATTACGATTTTAAACGGAAAACCCAGCGGTAACACTAAAGTTCATATACGAATTGTAACATGCAAATGACGACTATGTTATTGTTGCTATCCGGAACACAGGTGGCAGTATCAGTGTTTGGACACCCCACCCCTATCTGCCCCTGGATCTCTACTACAACCCTGAAAGAAAAATAATTCAACACTCTAAGGCTAACTATAAGGTATCAAATACAAAACCACCGATAAAATTATTTATCAAAAAACATTTTTCCACTATCAAAATTATAGTTATAGAAAGGTGAAAAGCCTACAGTACTATATATTCATTTGCCAAAGAATGTGGAACACGGGAAATCGTCGTTTCGGCGACTGAGGCGCATTCCGCTGCATCATTCATTAACATCAATAAAAAGAACTAGAATTCCACAGCTTACCTAATTCAAGTCCAACAGATATCAAAATCATTCCGATTTTTTTCTGTTTCACGGTATTTTTTGACTTGTCGTAGCCATTTTGCAGTCTGATACCTGTGTTCTAATACGCAATCTGATTGGACGAGCCAAATTGGACGTCCAATCAGATCGCGTATATCACACAGGTATCAGAATCCAAAATGGCAGCGACAAGTCAAAATATACCTATAAACAGAAAAAAACGATAGAATATTGATATTCGTTGGACTTGAATTAGGTAAGCTGTGGAATTCTAGTTCTTTTTATTGATGTTAATGAATGATGCAGCGAAATGCCGCCGGAATGCGCCTCAGTCGCCGAAACGACGATTTCCCGTGTTCCACATTCTTTGGCAAATGAACATATAGTAGGCTTTTCACCTTTCTATAACTATAATTTTGATAGTTGAAAAATATTTTTTGATAAATAATTTTATCGGATGTTTTGTATTTGATACCTTATAGTTAGCCTTAGAGTGTTGAATTATTTCTTTCAGGGTTGTAGTAGGGCTCCAGGGGCAAATAGGGGTGGGGTGTCCAAACACTGATACTGCCATCTGTGATCCGGAACACAGCAAATTGCAAGTTTTAGCTTCACGGTGCATTAGGACTGGCGTTCAGAAAAAAGTAATCATCTCATAAAAAGATTAAATTTGTAGGAAAACATCCTTTATAATGTTAAATTAGGACGGCTACTGTGCCGCTATGATAGTGTAAGAGTGACGTTGCATTTTTGTGTACACAAAAGTTTACAACCTTTGTCTGAATAGGTAAAATAGGGTTTTTAGAAGCGAATATAATACAAGAATAAGAAATAGATTTTGAAATGTCTATATGGTAAAGTTGGTAAAGTCAATTACTTAAATGTTATCACGAGTTCGAGCCTCACAAATTGTCTAACCTTTTTTTTATCTTTCCCTATTTTTTTAAATTTTACATTAGATGAAATGAAGTGGAATATAAAGGTAGTTTTGTTTTAATATGTAATAATTCAAATATACCTGTATCCTGTGCAGTATGTTGTAGTCATAGAACATGTACATTTCAGGAGTATTTCGTGCCAACTTAACTATACTTGAAACAATTTGTGTACGTGTATGCATATTAGTATAATGTTACACCAACTTGCTAGATATGGCTACATGTAAAACAAAAGAAAAAAATGAGAATTTAATAGAAAATAGCATAACACTTAAAATCTTTACAAATACAACATATTGTTATTTGATTATTAATAATACAGATTTTTTGCGAAAAAAGTACACTCCGAACCTGGCTGTCTCGCATTGATATTTAACTAGAAACTTACCGTCTGCGTTACGCTGACAGTTGGTACATTAATTTGTCGATATTAAGCCTGCTTAAGATAATAAACTCAATAAGGTAACTGTTTTACACCGTTATAGTGGACTTGACTGCTGCGTCACTAAATGATCATCATAAACGTACACGGATGATCCGAAGGCGGAGTTTTTCATGCAAACAGAAATTGTACTTCCGATTTCGCCACAATGAGGTTGCAGATTTTTATGGTTGGTTGTCTGGACACCAAAATAAGGTCTGGAGTAGATATAAAACCCAATTTATTAATGAAATGTCGCTATTTCTGTTTTTATGAAATTTAGTAAATGCAGCTTTAAATTAGAAACACCTGTTTATACCATTTGTCAATTTTGACATCAACTCAACTTATACTACAGTATACATGTGTGGTCATTTTTGTTATTCTAATTGATGTTATAACTGTTGCAGCTTGTATTTTATATAATATCGATACATATTGGATTTGTTTGTCGCGTCAGTGTATGTGAATAAACGTTTTACTGTGTACAATTATAAAGGGCATATCGGTTTCTGGAAACTCTTCTCAATTCTTAGAGAAACAGCTAGTAGAAACCACTTTTGTTAATATTTTTGATCGAGAAAATATTTTCATAAACACGCCATTGAGTTTTGTTATCATTTATTTAGTGGTAATTTTGCAATATCGTTATTCAAACATTCGTTTGCTTATAAATGTAATCAGAACGTTCTGTATTATGTCTAATATCACTATTTGAAGTACCACTGTTTGTAGGAAAATCGGAATTTCTACACCTCTGGTAAGTGGGAAACACTGAAAGTGTCTCTGAAAAATCCAAAGGGTTTTACCCAAGATCGAACCCAGGACCTCGGGAATGACAGCCAGTGGTCTAACCAACTGAGCTATCGCGCCAAATAGTGTCTAGTTTTGTATAATACAATTTACGGATGCTACATTTCTTTCTATTGTTATTCTTATCTGTGTAATGTTGTCATTTAAACTTATGTGATTTTCCCTTACTGCTGCTTCTGTTTAAACGATGCACTTTCTACACGATCATTTCCTACCATGCAACTATAAGACGTGACTTTTTGTACTGTTCTAGTCTTGTTACTGACTATATTTAACATATTAAATAAACCAAGTAATATCTAAAATGTTTCGTTGTTTCTTAGTAGTTATGTTCCTTTAACTCATGAATCAGGTCTGCTTAAATACTGGCCTTCCAGCAGAATGTTACAAGTGTGCCACGATGGTCTTCATAGCTCACAATTGCCATGTCTTCAATGCATAAGAAAGTTATTAGGCCAAATATTGGACAATGATTTATACAACATTCACCGACTACTAGTACTAGTCTCTAAGCTATGAAGATTTAAATGGTTTCCTATCATACGTAAGTCTGCAAAGTGTTACAGTTTTGAAGAGGGAAATTGTACGTTCCAAATATGTAAGCTCTGGGCATTGTAGTTCAAGAGCTTACGCCATGCATATGTTGATTAAACAATTAATGGAGGATAACAAGGCATGACAGACATTACGCTATAACAAAAGCTGGAAGTGAAAAAAGGAAGGGGAGAACTATGAATAAATGCTAGACTAGAATGGTATTAATTTTTTTCAATGTAGATGTAGGCCATTGAGTCGAATTTGGGCATTGTCATTTATAATCTGGGTCAATGAGTCATATGACTTCTGTAGATGGCTACAATGCCAAATATGCAAGCTATACCATGTATGCCATTTTGTTTCACACAAAATTAAAATGTGCTTTCAGTCTATATTTAGTGAGTGACCTCCATGACGAGGCAATTTTGTCCCCAGCTTGTTGAATGATTTTAGCCACCCTTCTGTTCATTGATGCATGCCAAATATCTAAGTTTTAGCAAGAAAATTTAAAATCAATTCCAGTTAACAGTTTCTGAGAATTAGTCATTGATCTATTACATGGTAATATTTAAGAAACGGTTCCTACAAAGTTTCAATGAATTCCTGTCAGTAGTTGCTGAGAAATAGCCGAGACGAAAAATATAGATAAAATCTCATTAAAGAAGCTGGAAACAAGATTGCATTTGTGAACAAGAACTGTCAGAGGACAGTAACGCTCGACTATTCGAAAATTTGTCACAAGGGTGTTTCATTGAGTATAATAATGCTAACCTATATGAATACATAAAATTGTCCGAAAAGGTACAAACCCTTCAAGTTTCAATACAATCACAGAGAACAAGTGTGTGAAGTTTCAATCCATTCCCTTAAGTAGTTATGGAGATACCAGCTTACACACAAAAACTTAACCAAGAATTTATGAATCGAAAAAGGGGCATAATTATGCGAAAAAGTAAATCAGAGTTATGGGACTTGTGCCAATCATCTTAAATAATCACAGACAACAAGAGTGTGAAGTTTCAATCCATTCCCTTTAATAGTTATGGAGATACCAGCTTACACGCAAAAACTTAACCAAGAATTTCTAAGTCAAAAAAGGGGCATAATTATGCAAAAAAGCAAATCAGAGTTATGGTACAAACCCTTCAAGTTTCAATACAATCACAGAGAACAAGTGTGTGAAGTTTCAATCCATTCCCTTCAGTAGTTATGGAGATACCAGCTTACACGCAAAAAATTAACCAAGAATTTCTAAGTCGAAAAAGGGGCATAATTATGTAAAAAAGCAAATCAGAGTTATGGGACTTGTGCCAATCATCTTAGATAATCACAGAGAACAAGTGTGTGAAGTTTCAATCCATTCCCTTCAGTAGTTATGGAGATACCAGCTTACATACAAAAACTTAACCAAGAATTTCTAAGTCGAAAAAGGGGCATAATTATGTAAAAAAGCAAATCAGAGTTATGGGACTTGTGCCAATTCATCTTAGATAATCACAGAGAACAAGTGTGTGAAGTTTCAATCCATTCCCTTTAGTAGTTATGGAGATACCATATTACATAAAAAAACTTAACCACAGGGACGCCGACGCCGACAAATGGGTGACTGCATTAGCTAGATTATTCTGCGAATAGTCGAGCTAAAAATGCTATGCCACCGCAAACAACACTAAATAGTAATGTAGGAACAATTTTGTTTCTATACAATTGAAGACTGCAATGATGCATAGATCCCTGACCTATCTAATTCTTATTATCAGATAAGTGGATACAATAACGATTTCACCACAACCTATTTGCTAACTAAAGAGCACATGCCAATGTTTGTGGTTAAATCTATTGTTATTCAAATAAAAGATCTATCTATGCAGTTGAGTCTAGTAAATTTGGTGGTGAAGGTCATATTTCACATGGCCTACATTTCATGACTGTACATCAAAGGACAACACAGTAAGACACTTTGTCAAAATCTAGGTCTCCTGATATCAAAGTTCCCTTTACATCTTAATCTGTGCACATGGTTCAAATTTCATAGATGTAGATCAAAAGACAAGAAAGTAGGTCACTGTCCCCTTGGGCAGGTCAAAAATTTTGACCCAAGGGTTTAATTCAAACAATCTTGATACCGGTCCACCAAACAATGTTTCATGTCCAATATCTAAGCTGTAGCTTTCTCCAATTCAGAAAACATTTGTTTTAGTTTCTGATTTTACTATGTTTACATAATGAAAATCAATGCCCCCCCCCCTGGGCAGGGCTTATTTTGACACCAGGGGCAAAATTTGAACAACTTTGGTAAAGGACCTGTAGATGATATAATACAGCAAACATCAAAGCTCTAAGCCTTGTACCTTCAGACATGAAGATTTTTAAATTTTTTACCATATGTACATAGTGAAAATCAATGACCCCCTCCCGGGGGCAGGGCCAATTTTGACACGAGGCTAAGATTTGAACAATCTTGGTAGAGGTTCACTATGCAAAGTCTCATGCCAAACATCTAACCTCTAGCCTTTGCCAATTTTAGAGAAGAAGATTTTTCAAGTTTTTACTAAATACATGTAAGGAAAACTATCGCCCCTGGGGCAGGGCAATTTTAACACTAGGTGCATAACTTTGGTAGAGGACCCATAGATGATATTATATACCAAACATCAAAGCTCTAAGCCTTGTACCTAGATAAGAGGATGTTTAAATTTTTTTACTATAATATATGTACATAGTGAAAATCAATGACCCCCGGGCAGGGCTAATTTTGACCCAAGGGCTATAATTTGAACAATCTTGGTAGAAGTTCACTACACAATGTTTCATGCAAAATATCTAACCTCTAGTCTTTGTCAATTTAGAGAAGATGATTTTTTAAGTTTTTACTATATACATATAGGGAAAACCTATGACCCTTGGGCAGAGCTAATTTTGACACTAGAGGCAAAGTTTGAACAACTTTGGTAGAGTACCTATAGATGATATCATATACCAAATATCAAAGCCCTAAGCTTTGTACCTTCAGACAAGATGATTTTTTAATTTTTTACTATATGTACATAGTGAAAATCAATGACCCCCTCCCAGGGGCGGGGCCAATTTTGACCTGAGGCTTTAATTTGATAAATCTTGGTGGAGGTTCACTACACAATGTTTCATGCAAAATATCTTACCTCTAGCCATTGTCAATTTCGAGAAGATGATTTTTTTAAAGTTTTTACTATATACATATAAGGAAAACCTATGACCCCCGGGGTAGGTCTAATTTTGACACAAGAGGCAAAATTTGAAGAACTTTGATAGAGTACCTGTAGATGATATCATATACCAAATATTAAACCTCTAAGTCTTGTACTTTCAGATAAAAAGATATTTAAAGTTTTTACTATATGTACATATAGTGAAAATCAATGACCCCCAAGGCAGGGCCAATTTTTATCCCAGGGCTATAATTTGAACAATCTTGGTAGAGGTCTACCAGACAATGCCTTATAAAAAATATCTATGCTCTAGACCTTGTGGGTCTTTACAAGAAGATTTTTATAATTTATTCTTATAATTCCTTTTGGTTGCCATGGCAACTAGATTTCTACATGGAATGAAATTTTTTGAACAACTTTCGAAGCCCTTCACCCAAGGATCAATCCTGCCAAGTTTGGTTGAAATTGGACTAGTGGTTTTTCACAAGAAGATTTTTTAAGTTCACTATATAATCTTTATAACACACACACACACACACACACACAGGTGGATCGCTATACGAGTATGCCATGGCAACGCAGATGCTGCGGTGGAATAAAAAATAAAAGGATAATATTTTTAAGAAAAAATCAATGATCCAGAATATGCTGCTAATTTGCACACCTCTTCATAGTAGTAAAGCTTCCTACGAAGTTTTGTTAATTCCAGTCAGTTGTCGGTGTGTTATCTGAAAAGGCTTTTAAGGGGCATAGCCAGGTGAAAAAACCATCAAACAGGAAAATGCTGCAATTATGCACTACTCTTTCTATGAAGTTTCTTTGAATTTCAGAAACAAGAGGACCATGATGGCCCTGAGGTCGCTCACCTGTATATAGGCCCCCGGAGCTTTTATTTAAACAAACTTGGTAGACAGCCATTAGAAGATGTTTCATGGTTAACGCGTCGGACTATTAATCTAAGGATTGCTGACCGCGTGGGTTCAAACCCTGTCAGGGGCAAGCCGTTGTTTCCTTAAGCAAGAAACTTTACATTCATTGCTTAGTACTGGTTGGTTCCAGGAACGGATTCGAGAGTGTTTCAATAAGCTTATAGCTTCCAACACAATCAAACTAAAAATAAATTTGTATAAACTAAATATCTTAGCTCTAGCTCTTTGAGTTCATTAAAAGAAGATTTTTAAGTTTTTACTATATGCATTTAGGGAAAATCAATGACCCCTTGGAGCGGGGCTAATTTTGACCCCAGGGCTTTTATTTGAACAAACTTAGTAGACACTCATTAGGAGATGTTTCATGCTAAATATCTTAGCTCTAGCTCTTTGGGTTCTTGAATAGAAGATTTTTTAAGTTTTTACTATATGCATATAGGGAAAGTCAATGACCCCCTGGGGCGGGGCCAATTTTGACCCCAGGGCTTTTATTTGAACAAACTTGGTAGACACTCACTAGAAGATGTTTGATGCCAAATATCTAAGCTCTAGCTCTTTGGGTTTTTTAAAAGAAGATATTTAAAGTTGTTTCTTTCGGTTGCCATGGAAACCAGAGTTCTGCATGGAATTAAATTCTTTGAACAATTTTTAAAGGTGACCACCTAAGGAACATTCCTGTGAAGTTTGGATGAAATTGGCTTAGTGGTTTATGAGGAGATCTCATTTAAAGTAAAAGTTTACAGAAGGGACGGACAGAGGGACGCCAGACGAAAAGTGATCACAAAAGCTCACCCTGTCACATTGTGACAGGTGAGCTAAAAAGTATCAGATGGACAGACAAGGCGGTCCCACTCTAGTTTTTCTGGGGCATAAAAACGAAGTATATATGTCAGGGTAAGTGGTCCAGGATCCTTGCCCCTGCCACCAAAATCTCAACAGTTTAAAAATAAAAACCGATAACATCTTGACATATTTTATTTATTTAGTTAGGTAAAGGAATTGATTGTCAATGAACTTTGGGATTTGAATCTAAAATATCATCAATATCAGTTTCTTGTACATCAACCATTGTTGATTCACTTTTATCAGTGTCATATTCAAGATGTTTTGGGTCTAAAGCCCGTACAAATGTAGGTGGAACATTATCTCTGATAACATCCTCATCTACTATAACTTGTATAATATCTGATCCTGGTACCTCATACATTGCACTAAGTAAATGTCGCTCCTGAAAAAAATAAACTTTGTTACTATTCTAATCATATAAAAATTGTATGTTTTACCAAAACCTTTTCCTTAATGTTTGCTATTGCTGGGTTTTGCGAACATATGCAGTACTTTAGTCATGCATGTATTTTGAATTTCAAGCTTTACAAGTGGAGAAAGACCTCGGGTGGCCTTCCATGCATTTCAGGCACAAACGGGCAAAAGAGCTTCATAAAAGATATTGTACTCAATCCAAGTGCAAATAATCCATATCAAATCACTATTGTACTACATCAAGCCTTGTTGTCATTTTCAGAGACCAAATAATTTACATAAAATCCTTACTGTACTTGAGGTAACAATGTTCTTTCAAGAAAATGAGAATGTGGTGGTGTGAAATAAAGATGTCATCATACATTGAGGAGTACAATAATGAATTTACTTAAACTTGCCTAAAGACTCAAAATTGACAACAAGAAACTGAAATCGCTCACCTGAATATAGAAATTCTCCCTGACAAGGAATATATTGTAAACTATAAATAAAACCAGATATAAAATCTAAATCTTAAACTGATATCACAAACATCATATTTGTATCTGAATTAGTGCATGTGTAAAATCATTACTGGCTGCTATTGCTAACGGAAAACAACAGTTCCAAAAGATGTTAACATATAAGGAATATCAATGACCCCAAGGGGCCGGGCCAATTTTGACCCTAGGGCTTTTATTTGAACAAACTTGGTAAACACTAACAAGAAGATGTTTCATGCTAAATATCTAAGCTCAAGTTCCTTGGGATTTTTAAAAGGAGATCTTTTAAGTTTTTAGGAAATCAATGACCCCCTGGGGCTGGGCCAATTTTGACCCCAGGGCTTTTATTTTAACAAACTTGGTAGACACTCACTAGAAGATATTTCATGCCAAATATCTAAGCTCTAGCTCTTTGGGTTTCTTTAAAAAAAGATTTTTTAAGTTTTTTCCTTCGATTGCAATGTCAACCAGAGTTCTGCATGGAATTAAATCCTTTGAACAATTTTTAAAGGTGACAACCAAGTTTGGGTGAAATTGGCTTGGCAGTGTATGAGGATATGTCGTTTAAAATAAAAGTTTATGAATGGACAGAAACAGGACAAATTGTGATCACAAAAGCTCACATTGTCACTTTGTGACAGGTGAGCTAAAAACTATGAAAAGATGCAAAAATAGCCTTACAACAATATTACCATGGGTTGAAAATGGTGAAAAATACACATGTGTCTTAAGTTTAACTATCCTGTAAACTCTACGCTCATTAGGATGTGTGCAGCTTTTAAAACATATGGCATACAAATTTGATATCACATTTCTTACCATTTGAGCTCGAAGACTTCTAGCACCCATTTTTTTCTTCATGGCATTCTGTGCTATGGCTTTAAGAGCTGCATCACTCATTGTTAATTCACACTGGAAAAAAGAACCAATGAGATAAAATTCTAACATCACAAATATTAGTTATTACTTTACCCTACATCTATAAGTCACTCTTGTTTGGATGTATAAAATAGAAAATTCTCTGGGGGAAAAATGTCTGCTTTTCAGAACAGAAATTTTGATTTTAAATTTCTTGTAGTACTATTTGGCATTCATTTTTATGTCAATAACAAAAATTTTCACACACAAATACTTACTGAAATCTTCTAGTTATAATTTTTCATACATAAACATTAACCAAATTTTTTTTCAAATAGTGCCGTCACTGTTACAGTGATTCAATGTCGGGTTATGTGTGTGACAATAAAAACAGCAAGTGCCCTTTGATAGCATTATTTCAGAGCAAAACTGGCAAATAAATAAATAATAACATTTCTGTACTAATCTCAATAGCTTAATCATATAGATAAATTTGCTTCTATACAAAAACAGCAGGCAGACAAATTGTACTCAGAGCATATGTCTAACCAGTTGACATTTAGATAAGTAAGAAGAACATCCATAACAATAACTGTTATGTAAGCATGAACCCAATACCTCTAAAGCCTTGACCCTGGCGACCCACACCTTGCAACAACCATGATTTTTTTAAGGTGACAAGCAGACAAAAAGACTGCTTTAAGCCAAGATACAGGGTAAGAAATATAAATTCATTATAATCACCCATGTGTCATACAGGAGAAGATATAAAGCAAAGATTTTCATGAGGTACTTACATTATCTAATTTGAAACTTTGTTTAAACTGTTTTATCAATGCATTCTTTGGTTCTGTTAAAATTCTTATCAAAATGTCTTCATCTAATGAATGGAATGAACACAGTTTTGGCATTCTGCCGACAAATTCTGGAATTAGTCCAAACTCAATTAGGTCACAATCCTCAGCTCTTTGTATTAATTCATCATGAGCTTTATTATCAAATTCCTCCTTGTTTTCCTGATTATCATATAGTATTGAACTTTTTTCTTCTGGTACTGCTGTCACTGGAGTACCAAATCCTAAATACTGCAAATAAAGAAGAGGAGAACAATTAATTTTGAAATAAACCAAGTTTAAATTAAAAAAATAAAATGTTTTAATAAAAAACTTTTTGAAATTCCAACTTCCATGTTGTACCTGTCCATTATCAGTTTGTCAGCCAACAGTATAGAGACTGGTTATACTACATGGATGTGCATGCTGGCCTGGCTCTAAACTGGTGGCAAAGGCTAATCTTTGTCAGTTTCAGCAGGGTTAGAGTTATTACTGAAACAATTGCCATCTCTGAATTTCTTACTTTAACTTGATGGTATTAAAATTAATAATATTACGTATATACAGAAGATACATGTAATATCTTTTAGCATCCATTCACCTCTTATAAATGATTTCAATATAAATCTACAATAAAATTAAGAAGGAAAACTAACAAATTTATTAGTTTTTAAATATTTATAAAAATTAAACAAGAGTGCCATGATGGCCCTGAGGTCGCTCACCTGTATAAAGCCCCCCCCCACCACACACCCATAAGAAGATGTTACATGCTAAACATCTTAGCTCTAGCTCATTGGGCTTTTTAAAAGAAGATTTTTTTAAGTTTTTACTATACACATATAGTTAAAAACAATGACACCCCTGGGGCGGGGCCAGTTTTGACCCCAGGGCTTTTACTTGAACAAACTTTGTAGACACTTACTAGAAGATGTTTCATGCTTAAGATCTAAACTCTAGCTATTTGGGTTTTTTCAAAGAAGATTTTAAGTTTTTGCTTTACACATATAAGGAAAATCAATGACCCCCCGGGGCGGGGCCAATTTTGACCCCAGGGCTTTTATTTGAACAAACTTGGTAGACACCTATTAGAACATGATTGATGCTAAATATCTTAGCTCTAGCTCTTTGAGTTCTTTAAAAGAAGATTTTTAAATTTTTTACTATATGCATATAGGGAAAATCAAAGACCCCCTGGGGCGGGGCCAATTTTGACCCGAGGGCTTTTATTTGAACAAACTTGGTAGACACCCATAAGAAGAAGTTTCATGCTAAACATCTAAGCTCTAGCTCATTGGGCTTTTTAAAAGAAGATTTTTTTATGTTTTTGCTATACACATATAGTTAAAAACAATGACACCCCTGGGGTGGGGCCAGTATTGACCCCAGGGCTTTTATTTGAACAAACTTTGTAGACACTTACTAGAAGAATTTTCATGCTTAATATCTAAACTCTAGTTATTTGGGTTTTTTCAAAGAAGAGTTTAAGTTTTTGCTATACACATAAAAGGAAAATCAATGACCCCCGGGGCGGGGTCGATTTTGACCCCAGGGCTTTTATTTGAACAAACTTTGTAGACACTCACTAGAAGATGTTTCATGCTTAATATCTAAACTCTAGCTATTTGGGTTTTTTCAAAGAAGATTTTTTAAGTTTTTGCTATACACATATAAGGAAAATCAATGACCCCCGGGGCAGGGCCAATTTTGACCCCAGGGCTTTTATTTGAACAAACTTGGTAGACACCTATTAGAACATGTTTCATGCTAAATATCTTAGCTCTAGCTCTTTGAGTTCTTTAAAAGAAGATTTTTTAAGTTTTTACTATATGCATATAGGGAAAATCAATGACCCCCTGGGGCCGGGCCAATTTTGACCCCAGGGCTTTTATTTGAACAAACTTGGTAGACACTCATTAGAACATGTTTCATGCTAAATATCTTAGCTCTAGCTCTTTGGGTTCTTTAAAAGAAGATTTTTTAAGTTTTTACTATATGCATATAGGGAAAATCAATGACCCCCTGGGGCGGGGCCAATTTTGACCCCAGGGCTTTAATTTGAACAAACTTGGTAGACACTCACTAGAAGATGTTTCATGCCAAATATCTAAGCTCTAGCTCTTAGGGTTTTTTAAAAGAAGATATTTAAAGTTGTTTCTTTCGGTTGCCATGGCAACCAGAGTTCTGCATGGAATTAAATTCTTTGAACAATTTTTAAAGGTGACCACCAAAGGAACATTCCGGTGAAGTTTGGATGAAATTGGCCTAGTGGTTTATGAGGAGATGTCATTTAAAGTAAACATTTACGGACGCCGGACGGACGCCGGACGAAAAGCGATCACAAAAGCTCACCCTGTCACTTTGTGACAGGTGAGCTAACAAGAGCTGTCCGTAAGACAGCGCGCTCGACTTTTTTATTGCTTGCCAATAAAAAAAGTTTTTGCAGTAAAAGGCAATACAAGAATCTCTGTATTTTTAAAGTGAACAATGGCCATGAGCATTAAGATATTTAGTGAAGAATTATTTTACTGAATTGTGTGATACCCTTGAACACTGCAGCAAAGTTTGAAATGTTTAAGTCAAAAGAGGGCTGGTAAGAAAGAAAAAAAAACTGAGTTGAGCCTTAAATAAATTTAATTCTAAGTCGATAAAAGGCCTTAATTTTTAAAACAAATCCTTGACAGAGTTACCTTCTCTTGCGTACAGATGGGGGTAATGATGTGAAATAGCATTAAAAGTTTCAAAGCAATATCTCAAAGGGTTAAGGCAATAAGTGGATTTTACCCATATTCAATGTATTTTCTAAGTCAAAAAGGGGCATAATTCTGTCAAAAACCTTGACAGAGTTATGTCCTCTTGTCTGTTGATGAAGGTCGTGATGGTAAACAAGTATGGTCAGTTTCAAAGCAATACCTCCAATGGTTTTGAAATAAAGTGAGGTGGTACAAAAAACTTAACCAAGCTCAATACACTTTCTAAGTCAAAAAAGGGCCATAATTCTGTCAAAAACCTTGACAGAGTTATGTACTCTTGTCTGTAGATGGAGGTTATGATGGTGAACAAGTATGGTAAGTTTCAAAGCAATATCTCAAAGGGTTAAGGCAATAAGTGGATTTTACCCATATTCAATGTATTTTCTAAGTCAAAAAGGGGCATAATTCTGTCAAAAACCTTGACAGAGTTATGTCCTCTTGTCTGTTGATGAAGGTCGTGATGGTAAACAAGTATGGTCAGTTTCAAAGCAATACCTCCAATGGTTTTGAAATAAAGTGAGGTGGTACAAAAAACTTAACCAAGCTCAATACACTTTCTAAGTCAAAAAAGGGCCATAATTCTGTCAAAAACCTTGACAGAGTTATGTACTCTTGTCTGTAGATGGAGGTTATGATGGTGAACAAGTATGGTAAGTTTCAAAGCCATACTTGTAATACTTCTGAAATAAAGTGGGGTGGTACGAAAAACTTAACCAAGGTGTGACGCCAACGCTAACGCTAACGCCGACGCCGGGGCGAGTAGGATAGCTCCCCTTTTCATAGAAAAGTCGAGCTAAAAAGGATAGCCAGTCTTTGTTCTTAACTGAAAACTGTATGCTACAGTTTTCTTGCATGTCGGACTGGCGTTTTCATTAGTTTTACCCATGCCGGAAATTTCATCTGGCATGGGGGGTGTCAGATGAGTCGCATGCTGTACAATGGCACGCTTAGGATGACGTCATTTTACCGTTATGAATGAAGTTGTAATTTCATACGCTGTTGAAAGAAAGTAGTTAAGGTTGTAATGATATAAATTTCCATTGAAAATAAAGATAAAGAACTTAAAATATAATGGAATATGGTAGAATATGCAAGAAAAAATATCTGACATGTTTGCGCTTTGGATCGGAATATCCGTCCCTTGGTAACCCGCCCATGGGCGGGTCACCTCGGGACGGATATTCCGATCCGAACTGCAAGATATGACAGATATTATTATTCCTTTATGCCTTTGCCTATATGTTTTTATGTAACTGTAGCATAAGCTTTCAAGACCTCTTATACAAAGTTTTGTACTGAAAACTGCAATTTTTGTGATGTTTAAATTATCAATAAAGTGCAAAATTAATTGTGACCTTTCAACTTCCAAAAGCTGATATTACAGTTAGATTTGACAGGAGTTATAAGATATAATACAAAACCTTAACATTTTTCCTCTGTTGCACAACCTTATCCAGTCCATTGAATGCCCCAGCAGCAATAAATAGAATATTTGTTGTATCTACAGCAACTGTTTCACCTTTTATTTTCTTTCCCTTATCGGCGACATTTAATACAGTGCCTTCAAGCATTTTTAATAAACCTTGTTGTACACCTTCTCCTCCTATATCCTTCAAGTGCTGTGTATTCGGAGCTCTTGCTATTTTATCAACTTCATCCAAAAATACAATACCTGTAAGCAAAGCAAACTGATGCATATCATTACTTTTGATGAAATTATGATTTACTTACTTCCCATCTTAATTTATCTTATGCTTTTCAATGAGATACTTCAATATATGTGTGAGATATAAGTCAAGTGACTTCATAATTATAAATAGAGTCATTTAGCTACATAGAATACGATAAAAGATAAAGAAAGAAAATCTATCTCATTTCATTCAATACGTACAATATCTAACTTTGAAGTTTCCTGTGAAAGTTTTCTTAGACTTAGCACTTTTTGAGTGATTCAAGTCCACATTAACTATTTTCTTGATACATATTTGATTGTGTCTTGTCTCATGTAAGTAAAGTATAGAATATCAGATCTTTAATATGGTAACTAGAGAACCATGCCATACACTGTATCGACGAAGGGAGTCACGTGACCTGAAGAAGGTAACATTCCCAGTGCCCAGCGTTTATCTACATTTAAACTTGCTACACATTTTTATCAGTGATTTACTGATAGATAATTTTATGCATGAATTCTTTTAAAATTTTATGCATGAATTCTTTTAAAAAGAACAGACACTACAAAAAATTAATTATTAAAAAAAATATTATTAAACCTAAACTTTAAAAATAATTAATAGTACAGTTATACACATCAGAGTAATTTCTTTTCAGCTGAAGCTAAAATTAGACAATTTTGTTAATTTATTAAAAGAGATTATAGTGTAATAATAAGACAAATTCTGTCAATACCCACTACATAATAGCATAAAATAAACAATTAAAAATAAACAATTTAATATGGTTACATTTATATAAGACCATGTTATCTTTGGAAAGATTCCAAAGATCATCCCCTATACAAAGTTATTAACATTATCAAGATTTGTTAAGGGTATTTCATAGTAATATATTTTATTGACTACAAAGTAAACAGGAAACTTGCAGCATCTGCAATATCTAGGCAACATTGTCTTAGGGGAAATCTATATAAAAAAAAGTGTCATTATAAAAGTGATGAGACTCAAACAGCATCATCTTGAGGGGATAGAGTGCATGCCGATATTCAAGTTGACTGCAGTAATTCTAAATCTGTTTTAACAGAAACTTTTCTTAGCTTCAACCCTAGACTTAATATATTTGGTTTTCGAATAAGTTCTTTCTTTTCATCCTTCCTTTAACTACTTGTTCAAATAATACATGTATATATCATACTTTTGTTGAAATAAATGTTTTACTTACACTTATGAAATTGAAACATGGATTAAGTTATCAACAAATTGTTGGCCTTGGTATGGTATTTAAAAGCTAACTATCGACCCCTACTGTAATGTTTCAACAAAGACCAATTTCATTTTTCTCAAACTTATTTCTATGAGAAAATTACCTCATAAGATTTTTTCTCAAAAATATTACTAGCAATATCTGGAAGCTATGTTGATAAACAAAAGTGAAAAATTGAAAATTAATGGCAGATTTCCTTGTCAGAAAGTTTCAAACTTATTCTTTAACAAGTGCTTCGAATCAGATTTTTGTGTCGTTTCAGATAAAGCTGGCTCTCTTACTAATAATCCATAATCATTATTTTCTAAGGTATTACACATCAAGTTTATATACCTGTACACATACTTTGTAGGTCTTTAATCATCTGGGTTTTTCATTTTTAAAATATAAGTATGGTTTTTAAAAATTTGTCAATACTAATTAATGAAAATAACAACAAATAGAAGTTATCATTAAACTTGTTTAGTACATCTACTATATGTGTTGCCTATCTTGTCATATTTTTATGTAAGAGGTAAGATCAACTTTGTAAATGTGATACATGTGTATTACAGTGAATGTTGACAGATCTTTCTGTGGAAAAAAAAAACTTTTAACAGGACTTTTCCAAAATTGAGAAACATTCAGTATATTTTTCCTACATGCATGGTACCATAGCCATAATTTTCCTACAATTGCCCTTCTTCACTTCTTACTTTAAATTTAAAAGCAAATGCTTCATGCACATTTGTAGAAACAAATGTAACCTTTAGAGTAAAAAGATAAAGCCTTTATCACAAGTCCTTTTTATAATTTTAATCCACATGTTTTAACAGAGTTTTTTGGCTATGAACACTTTATATCTAAGGAAATAACAGTAGTTTAAACTGCATTTACAATATCTATAAACACATTGAAAATTATTAATGGATAATAACAACCTGAAAATAGACTTGATACTTAGGCTTATCAGCAGTAATTAATGTGGTCAAGATGTGTGTTTTTCTTTATTCTCCATAGTAAAGTGTATTATTTTCAACAGCAGCCGTGTGTATGTTTACCCTCTATAGTCACGTGACGGGCTATCGATACAGTGTATACATTTCACACAGAAGGATGAATGTAGAGTCAAAAGCCTTCATATTGCTGGCTGGATTCTTCCCTCATACAATTCAACAATTAGTATTGAGTTTAAAAACACAGAGCAAATCATAAACCTTAACTGCTCTGTCATGAAAGACCCCTTTATATAAATAAGACATTAAGTGTCACCTTGTTGGCATTTCTCCACATCACCATTAGCATTTTGTAGCAATTTCCCTATCACAGATTCAACATCTTCACCGACGTAACCAGCGGATGTTAGAGTTGTACAATCACAGATAGCAAATGGTACATCTAATATACGGGCCAATGTTTGAGCTAGTAAAGTTTTTCCTGTATAAACAAGCAATTATCATAGTATTGCAAGCAATCCATAAGTCCCCTACCGGTTAGAACCCCAGCAACATTCTGATGGGCCATTGGCCATTCAATTTTACCAGTGAATGAATGACATGAATGAACTTAAATCTTTTGAGTTCTAAGTTTGTCTATATCACAGTAATGTGTTAAGTTTCCCTGCCTAGTAAGGAAATTATGTTTATACAACCTTGTCATAATTATTAGGATGTGGGATTTTAAAGTGAATCCTATAAGGAATGAAAAAGTTAGAGTGAAAAATACGAATTTCTCGAAAAAAATCTAAGTTCAAGGGGGACATAATTCTGGAAATAGTCTTGCTAGAGTATTTAACCTTCTCAAAAATGTTGAGTGATAATAAGAAACATATATATGAAGTTTGAAGTAGATACATTAGGAAATAAAGAAGTTATTTAAAAAAGACATTATTTTTTTTCATAAAATTTCTAAGTTCAAGGGAGGTAATACTGATAATTTTTGTGCTAGAGTTGTAAACCTTGTCACATATGATGTGGTTGATGACCAGAAACTTATATTTAAAGTTTGAAGTAAACACCTTAAGAAATAAAGAACTTATAGTGAAAAAGCTGAAAAATTTACATCAGAAATCTTGAAATTCAGGCTATTTGTTGCCATAGCAACCAGAATTTTCAACATAGGAAGAAAAGAAAAAGATGTGCATAATCTCCAGACTGCCATCTGCCCATATTTCAAGTTTCATAAAAATATTTTCAGTACTTTTTGAGTTATCACTGGATCCAGTTTATGTGTTAAATTTGCCATATTTTCAGACTATTTGTTGCCATAGCAACCAGAATTTTCAACATAGGAAGAAAAAAAAAAGACGTGCATAATCTCCATACTGCCATCTATCCATATATCAAGTATCATAAAAATATTTTCAGTAGTTTTTGCGTTATCGCAGGATCCAGTTTTGTGGACGGACGGACAGACAGACGGACAGACGGACGGAGGGTAAACCTAAAGTCCCCTCCGGTTAAACCGGTAGGGGACTAACAAGTGTATACAAATTAATCATTCTATGTAATTGTCATAAAAGGTTGCAGACATATCAATATGATGTATGTAATTCAAGAATCAATGCTATCGCTAACATTTCAAGTTTTATTACTCATACCAGTCAATCTAATTACAGAAAAAGCAGTAGAATGTAATAATGCAATCATTGTTATATCTATTTGTAACAGTAAGGACATTTATTGAATATGAATACTTATCATCAAATAGTTTATTTTAATGATTTCAACATTGTTTTCTTCATACAGACTTTAAAAAAGGCCCTGAAAATGCTCTCCTGGTCCAAGGTCAATTTTAAACCAGGGCTTTTATTTGAACACACTTGGTAGATACCCATTAGAAGATGTTTCATGATAAATGTCTAAGCTCTAGCTCTTTGGGGTTTTTTATAAGTAGATTTTTAAAGTTTTTACATATAAATATATATATATATATATATAAGGAAAAACAATGACACCCAGTTGGAGGGGCGAATTTGACCCCAGGGCATTTATTTGAACAAACTTGGTAGATACTCACTGGAAGATATTTCATGCTTAGTATCTTTGGGTTTTTTATAAGAAGATTTTTTAAGTTTTTACTATATATACAAATATTGAAAACCAAGGGCCAGGCCAATTTTGACCCTAGGACATTTATTTGAGCAAACTTGGTAGACAATGACTAGATGATGTTTCATGCTTAAAATTTAATCTTTAGCTCTTACGGTTTTCTAAAAGAAGATATTTTAAGTTTTTTCTTTTGGTTGCCATGGCAACCAGAGTTCTGCTTGGAATTTAATTCTTTGAACAAGTTTTAAAGTTGACTACCAAAGGAACATTCCTGTGAAGTTTGGGTGAAATTGGCTTAGCGGTTTATGAGGAGATGTCGTTTACAGTAAAAGTTTACGGATGATGGACAGACAAAAAGCAATCACAAAAGTTCACCATATCACTTTGTGACAGGTAAGCTAACAAGAGCTGTCACAGGAGACAGCGAAGCTCAACTAATTAAATACTGGACGCAGTAAGCAATACAAAACTACAAGAGGGCCATGATGGCTCTGAGGTCGCTCACCTGTATATAGCCCCCCCCCCCCCCCGGGCCAATTTTTACCCAAGGGCTTTTATTTGAACAGACTTGGTAGACACCCATAAGAAGATGTTTCATGCTAAACATCTAAGTTCTAGCTCATTGGGTTTTTTAAAAGAAGATTTTTTAAGTTTTTACTATACACATATAGTTAAAAACAATGACACCTCTGGAGTTTTGACCCCCGGGCTTTTATTTGAACAAACTTTGTAGATATTTACTTAAAAATGTTTCATGTATAATATCTAAACTCAAGCTATTTGGGTTTTTTCAAAGAAGATTTTAAAGTTTTTGCTATACACATATAAGGAAAATCAATGACCCCCGGGGCGGGCCAGTTTTGACCCCAGGGCTTTTATTTGAACATACTTGGTAGACACCCATTAGAACATGTTTCATGCTAAATATCTTAGCTCTAGCTCTTTGAGTTCTTTAAAAGAAGATTTTTTAAGTTTTTACTATATGCATATAGGGAAAATCAATGACCCCCTGGGGCGGGGCCAATTTTGACCTCAGGGCTTTTATTTGAACAAACTTGGTAGACACTCATTAGAAGATGTTTCATGCTAAATATCTTAGCTCTAGCTTTTACGGTTCTTTAAAAGAATATTTTTTAAGTTTTTACTATATGCATATAGGGAAAATCTATGACCCCCTGGGACAGGGCCAATTTTGACCCCAGGGCTTTTATTTGAACAAACTTGGTAGACATTCACTAGAAGATGTTTCATGTCAAATATCTAAGCTCTAGCTCTTACGGTTCTTTAAAAGAAGATTTTTTAAGTTTTTACTATATGCATATAGGGAAAATCAATGACCCCCCGGGGCGGGGCCAATTTTGACCCCAGGGCTTTTATTTGAACAAACTTGGTAGACACTCACTAGAAGATATTTCATGTCAAATATCTTAGCTCTAGCTCTTTGGGTTCTTTAAAAGAAGATTTTTTAAGTTTTTACTATATGCATATAGGGAAAATCTATGACCCCCTGGGGCAGGGCCAATTTTGACCTCAGGGCTTTTATTTGAACAAACTTGGTAGACACTCATTAGAAGATGTTTCATGCTAAATATCTTAGCTCTAGCTCTTTGGGTTCTTTAAAAGAAGATTTTTTAAGTTTTTACTATATGCATATAGGGAAAATCTATGACCCCCTGGGGCAGGGCCAATTTTGACCTCAGGGCTTTTATTTGAACAAACTTGGTAGACACTCATTAGAAGATGTTTCATGCTAAATATCTTAGCTCTAGCTCTTTGGGTTCTTTAAAAGAAGATTTTTTAAGTTTTTACTATATGCATATAGGGAAAATCAATGACCCCCTGGGGCGGGGCCAATTTTGACCCCAGGGCTTTTATTTGAACAAACTTGGTAGACATTCACTAGAAGATGTTTCATGCCAAATATCTAAGCTCTAGCTTTTACAGTTCTTTATAAGAAGATTTTTTAAGTTTTTACTATATGCATATAGGGAAAATCAATGACCCCCCGGGCCGGGGCCAATTTTGACCCCAGGGCTTTTATTTGAGCAAACTTGGTAGACACTCACTAGAAGATGTTTCATGCCAAATATCTTAGCTCTAGCTCTTTGGGTTCTTTAAAAGAAGATTTTTTAAGTTTTTACTATATGCATATAGGGAAAGTCAATGACCCCCTGGGGCCGGGCCAATTTTGACCCTAGGGCTTTTATTTGAACAAACTTGGTAGACACTCATTAGAAGATGTTTCATGCCAAATATCTAAGCTCTAGCTCTTACGGTTCTTTAAAAGAAGATATTTAAAGATTTTTCTTTCGGTTGCCATGGCAACCAGAGTTCTGCATGAAATGGAATTCTTTGAACAATCTTGATAGAGCTTCATACAAAGAGTATTCCTGCCAAGTTTCATTAACATTGGCCTTGCGGTATCATAGAAGATGTCCTTAGAATATTTAAAATGTGGACGGACGACAGACGACGGACGCCATTTGGTTGGCCATCCTAAAAGCTCACCTGCACTTTGTGCAAGGTGAGCTAATAAAAGAAAAATCAATTATGATATAAATATATTTCTTCTTATGACAAGAAGTTATTGTTGTTAACATAAATTCCAAGTTCAAGGGGGAAAAATTCTGGAAATAGTCACACTAGAGTTATTGACCTTGTCACACAACATGTGTGTAATGATAAGAAATATTTATTTGAAGTTTGTAGTAAATACCTTTCAAAGTAAAGAAGTTATAATATTTCTTTTAGAAATTTCTAAATTCAAAGGGAGATAAATCTGAAAATATTGCTTCAAGAGTTATAAACCTTGTCACATAAGATATGGTTGATGATAAGGAATATGTATTTAAAGTTTGAGGTAGATACCTTTAAATTTAAAGAAGTTATAGTAAAAAATAACATTTTTCAAGTAAAAAAATCTAAGTTAATGGGGAGATAATTCTTGCAACATTGGTACTAGAGTTAAAAACCTTGTCACATAAGATGTGGTTAATGATAAGGAACATATATTTGAAGTATGAAGTTGATCCCTTAAGTAACAAGAGCCAGGTGTGAGCCGGGTGATGCTCCCCGAATAGGTTTTGGACACAGGAAAGTACACCTCTTGTAGTTTCAGAGTTATGTCCCTGGAAAAAGTTCAAAGTGCAATAATTCCAAAAATTAGGCAAGGCAGAGTAACTGTTCTTTGCACTGCACTTCTAATCAATGTGATCTATCAACCTACAAAGTTTCTTGATGATATCTCTTATGATTTCCGAGTTATGTCCCGGACAACTTCAAAAAGTAACAAGAGGGCCATGATGGCCCTGGGGTCGCTCACCTGAACATAGGCCCCCAGGGCCGGGCCAGTTTAAACCAAAGGGCTTTTATTTGAACAAACTTGGAAGACACCCATTAAAAGATATTTCATGATGTTAAGTTTTTACTATACACAAATAATGAATAACAATGACTTTTGCCCCCTCCCCCCTCTCCCTGGCAGGGCCAATTTTGACCCAAGGGCTTTTATTTGAACAAACTTGGTAAACATCCATTAGAACATGTTTCATGCTAAATATCTTAGCTCTAGCTCTTTTGGTTCTTTAATAGAAGATTTTTAACTTTTTACTCTATGTATATAGGGAAAATCAATAACCCCTGGGACAGGGCCAATTTTGACCCCAGGGCTTTTATTTGAACAAATTTGGTAGACACCCATTAGAATATGTTTCATGCTAAATATCTTAGCTCTAGCTCTTTGGGTTCTTTAAAAGAATTTTTTTTTAAGTTTTTAATATATGCATATAGGGAAAATCAATGACCCCCTGGGGCGGGGCCAATTTTGACCCCAGGGCTTTTATTTGAACAAACTTGGTAGACACTGATAAGAAGATGTTTCATGCTAAATATCTTAGCTCTAGCTCTTTGGGTTCTTTAAGAGAAGATTTTTTTGAATTTTTTACTATATGCACATAGGGAAAACCAATGACCCCCTGGGGCTGGGCCAATTTTGACCCCAGGGCTTTTATTTGAACACTCTTGGTAGACATCCATTAGAACATGTTTTATGCCAAATATCTAAGCTCTAGTTCTTTGGGTTTTTTAGAAGAAGACTTTTTAAAGTTTTTACTATATGCATATAGGGAAAATCAATGACCCCCTGGGGCGGGGCCAATTTTGACCCCAGGGCTTTTATTTGAACAATCTTGGTAGACACTTATTAGAAGATGTTTCATGCTTAATATCTTAGGTCTAGCTCTTTTGGTTCTTTAAAAGAAGATTTTTTAAGTTTACTATATGCATATAGGGAAAATCAATGACCCCCTGGGGCAGGCCAATTTTGACCCCAGGGCTTTTATTTGAACAAACTTGGTAAACATCCATTAGAACATATTAAATGCCAAATATCTAAGCTATAGCTCTTTGGGTTTTTTAGAAGAAGATTTTTTTAAGTTTTTACTATATGCATATAAGGAAAATCAATGAGCCCCAGGGGCGGGGCCAATTTTGACCCCAGGGCTTTTATTTGAACAAACTTGGTAGACATCCATTAGAACATGTTTCATGCCAAATATCTAAGCTCTAGCTCTTTCGGTTTTTTAGAAAAAGATTTTTTAAAGTTTTTACTATATGCATATAGGGAAAATCAATGACCCCCTGGGACGGGGCCAATTTTGACCCCAGGGCTTTTATTTGAATAATCTTGGTAGACACTCATTAGAAGATGTTTCATGCTTAATATCTTAGCTCTAGCTCTTTGAGTTCTTTAAAAGAAGATTTTTTCAAGTTTTTACTATATGCATATAGGGAAAATCAATGACCCCCTTGGGCGGGGCCAATTTTGACCCCAGGGATTTTATTTGAACAATCTTGGTAGACACTCACTAGAAGATGTTTCATGCCAAATATCTAAGCTCTAGCTCTTTGGGTTTTCTAGAAGAAGATGTTTAAAGTTTTTTCTTTTGGTTGCCATGGCAACCAGAGTTCTGCATGGAATGGAATTCTTTGAACAACTTTGGTAAGGCTTCACACAAGGAACATCCCTGTGAAGTTTCATTATGATCTGCCTTATGGTTTCAGAGGAGATGTCGTTTGAAAAGTGTGAACGGACAACGTACGACGGACGACGTACGACGGACGACGGACGAAGAGTGATCCTAATAGCTCACCCTGAGCATATGCTCAGGTGAGCTAAAAATTAAACAAAGGGCAATAACTCCAGAATTAGGCAAGGCAGAGTTATGATTATTGTGCACTGCACAGTGCACTGCACATCTACCCATTGAGATATATCTACCTACAAAGTTTCATGTTGATATCGCTTATAGTTTTACAGCTATGTCCTGGACAAGATTTTTCTAAAAGGGGAGATAATTCAAAAATGAGGCTTAACAGAGTTATGGTTCTTTTGCACTGCACCTCTACTCAATGACATCTATCTACCTACAATGTTTCATCTTGATATCTTTTATAGTTTTAGAGTTATGTTCCGGACAAAGTTCAAAGTGTTAAAATTAACAAAGGGCAATAACTCCAAAATAAGGACAAAAAGAGTTATTGTTCTTATAAATATACACTGCACATCTACCCATTGAGATCTATTCACCTACAAAGTTTCATGTTGATATCTCTTATAGTTTTAGAGTTATGCCCCAGCCAAGATTTTTCTATAAGGGGAGATAATTCAAAAACCAGGCAAAATAGAGTTATGGTTCTTTTGACACTGCACTCCCCCTTAATGCCCTCTACCGCTGTATGAAGTTTCAACAAATTATCTCCAAGGGTTTTCAAGTTATGCTCCGGACAAGACAACGGACGGACAGACGGAAGGACGGAAGGACGGACAAGGCAAATTTTTCGGGGAGCATAATTATTAATAAAGAAGTTACAGTAAAAAATAATATTTTTTAAGGAAAATTCTAAGTTCAAGGGGAGATAAATCTGAAAATATTGGTGCTAGAGTTATGAACCTTGTCACATAAGATGTGGTTGATGATAAGGAACATATATTTGAAGTATGAAGTTGATCCCTTAAGTAATAAAGAAGTTACAGTAAAAAATAATATTTTTTAAGGAAAATTCTAAGTTCAAGGGGAGATAAATCTGTAAATATTGGTGCTAGAGTTATGACCCTTGTCACATAAGATGTGGTTGATGATAAGGAACATATATTTGAAGTTTGAAGTTGATACCTTAAGAAATGATAAAGTTATAGTGAAAAATATTTTACTGTACCAAAACTTTAATCTGAAATCTGGACGCGGACGCCAACGCTGGGGCGACTAGGACAGCTCTCCATATACTTTGTATAGTCGAGCTAACAACAGATAAGCTTCTCTTTTTATGTTTATGTTGTTGTTATATTCTCTTTTGTGTCAACACAGTAGAGGTCATATGTTGACTTTCCAGGAACACCTTTGGTGCATAATTTAAGGCACTAGTGAGTACATGAGTATCAACCTCCGTAAACTAGATAGCTTCCTCACATTAAATTCTTAACTGCCTGTTGGGATTTGAACCCACAGTGGTTAGGGGCAAGTAGTTTGAAGTCTATGACTTAAACCACTTCGCTGATAGATATGTATTTTCATATCTGTAATAAAAAACTGAATAAAAAAAAGATTTTCCTTAAGATAGTACACATCTAATGCATATCTCCACTTTGAAGAGTATTCAAATAGGCTAGAATCACTGTCAACTGCATTGAAGCTGAGGGGCGTGGGTTCAAACCCCAGAATGGGCAACTTTTTTTCTTTCTTTTTTTTTCTTTTTAACATTTTTTTAAGTATCTCTCAGATCCCTAGAATCACTGTCAACTGCATTGAAGCTGAGGGGCGTGGGTTCAAACCCCAGAATGGGCAACTTTTTTTCTTTCTTTTTTTTTCTTTTTAACATTTTTTTAAGTATCTCTCAGATCCCTTATGTAAGAAAAAAGTGTTTGATTTTAATTATATAATTATTGTTGGTATTTATTTGCTAAAAAATGCCAAATTTAATGGCAACTATGATACCAGATATTTTCAAAAATAAAAACTACACGGTAAGAGTATTTTATATTTTGCAAGACCAACCAATATACATTTAAGAAAATTTAGGCAAACTTTTAAAACAGCCCCTCATTTTGGTAAACTTTAGGGATATTTTGAATGAGACTTTTTACGTAGGTCAAATAAGTGTTTAAAGTGGGTGGGGTAGGGTTACATTTTTATACATATTAAAAACAATTTGTTTAAAAACAATTATTTTGATAGTTCAATTTGTTACATTATTTGTTTCTTAACAATGAGCAATAGGAAAACATTTTTCAAAATGATGATATTATAGATTATTTAGAGTTTTCTCATATCTGAAAAAAGCCCTTCTAATGGCACAATCTTAGTTCAGAAAAATGTCCGTAACTCATAAACCACACGGTAAATTTTGTTTAAATTTTGCATACAGATGACATTTAAGGCATGTAACTGTCCTATGCTGTCAATTTTATAGTGCCCATTAGGGGTGTTCTACCTTAAAATTAAGCCAGCGATTTAGTTTTTGACACCAAAGACTTTTTATACTCTTATCTTGAACTATAAATCATCAACTTAAATTTTTTAGGTGAAAGACCATATTTCGTTGTTTTAAAAAAATAAACAATGTGCTCATTGATACTAACTGAATGTATTCTTCTACCTTCTATTCTGTGCAGCCAATTAAAGTGGAGCTGAAGCACTAACAAAAGCACATGAAGCAGAACAACACTGTGCATATTAAACAAAACCAATGCCTTAATTTGAGCATCAGCAATATAATTTAGCAAGATATATCCTAACCTGATCCAGTTGGTCCTAACATAAGTATATTACTCTTATCTATAACAACTTTATCTTTGTCTGTCTTTATTTCTGGATCTGTTTCTTCTGGAGGTTTAGTAAATCCTCTTGGTCTTAGCATACTCATCTTACCAGCATCTTTGGCTAGCTCCAATAAGTTCTCTAAAATATACAAGCTTTATAACAGTATGTTATACTTAATTAATATTTATGTAAATTTATATAATTGCCATCACAATTATAGACTTGTGCAGCGAACTTCTAAGAATTATATTATTAATTCTATACTAAGTGTACTACCTATGAACCTTATTTTTCAGCACAAAATTAAGAATACAGCACACGTAATTACAAGATAGAAAATGAAAGCAGTGTCTTAAAACTACTCTATAATGTATGAAATAGAAATATTTACTATAAAACTGCCCAGTATTAGGAGTGCTGTGAAAATGCAACTTACCATCTGTAATGCTGCCCTTTGACCCTGAAAGTAAATCAACTTACTAAATAAACTTCCTCTTAATCCTTAATCTGCTAAATTTATGCAATGGATTCAACCTGTTTTGAATCTGGAACAGTCTATTAATGGAACAGTCTATTCACAGTTTAAAATATTTTGAAATTGATATACAAAAAGAACAAGAGGGCCATGATGGCCCTGAAGTCGCTCACCTGTATATAGGCCCCCAGAGCGGGGCCAGTTTAAACCCCAGGGCTTTTATTTGAAAAAACTTGGTAGACACCCATTAGAAGATGTTTCATGCTAAACATCTAAGGTCTAGCTGGTAAAGTTTTTTCTTTACACATATAGTTAAGAACAATGACACACCTAGGGCAGGGCCAGTTTTGACCCAAGGGCTTTTATTTGAACAATCTTTGTAGACACTTACACTTATTTAAAGTAAAAGTTTACGGACGGACGGCCGGACGCCTGCCGGACGCCGGACGAAAAGCGATCACAAAAGCTCACCCTGTCACTTTGTGACAGGTGAGCTAAAAAGTCATAGACTGCCAAATTAACCGCCAAATCGGAGAGAGGTTTTAAAATAAGGCCAGTCCATTCATTCAAAGTGAAACAAGTGAAGGGCTTTCAAGTTCTGCACCGGACAAGATTTTTCTAAAAGGGAAGATAATTCAAAAACGAGGCAAAAAGAGTTATGGTTCTTTCACACTGCACTCTGCCTCAATGCCCTCTACCATTGTGTGCAGTTTAAACAAATTATGTCAAAGGTTTTCAGGTTATGCTGTGGATAAGATTTTTCTAAAAGGGGAGATAATTCAAACAAGATTGCATTTGAGAAAAATGCTATGCCACCGCATGGTTCAAATTTCATAGCTGTACATCAAAGGACAAGAAAGTAGGTCACATCATCAAAATCTAGGTCACCTGATATCAAAGTTCAATTTTACAACTAAAACTGTGCACATGGTCAAAATGTCATTGCTGTACATCAAAGGACAAGAAAGTAGGTCACTGTCCCCTTGGGCAAGGCATAATTTTGACCCAAGGGTTTAATTCAAAACAATTTTGATACAGGTCCACCAAACAACATTTCAAGTCAAATATCTAAGCTATAGCTTTCTCCCATTCAGAAAACATTTGTTTTATTTTCTGTTTTTACTATGTGTACATAATGAGAATCACTGCCCCCGGGCAGGGCCAATTTTGACACCAGGGGAAAATTTTGAACAACTTTGGTAGAGGACCTATAAATGATATTATATATCAAACATCAAAGCTCTATGCCTTGTACCTTCAGACAAAAATACTTTTTATTTTTCACTATATGTACATAATGAAAATCAATGACCCCGGGGCGGAACCAATTTTGACCCCAGGGCTATAATTTGAACAATCTTGCAAGAGGTTCAGTACACAATGTTTCATGCAAAATATCTTAACTCTAGCCTTTGTAAATTTAGAGAAGATGATTTTTTAAGTTTTTACTATATATATATATATATATAAGGAAAACCTATGGCCACCGGGGGCGGGGCTAATTTTGACACAAGAGGCAAAATTTGAATAACTTTTGTAGAGTACCTTTAGATGATATTATTTAACAAATATTAAAACTCTAAGCCTTGTACCTTCAGACAATAAGATTTATTTATTTTTTACTATATGTATATATTGAAATCAATGACCCTAAGGGCGGGGGCAATTTTGACCCTAGGACTATAATTTGAACAATCTTGCTAGAGGTTTACTACACAATGTTTCATGCAAAATATCTAACCTCTAGCATTTGTCAATTGCTAGAAGAATTTTTTTTGAAGTTTTTACTATAAGTTTTTACTATATACATATAAGGAAAACCAATGACCCCCGGGGCGGGCCGATTTTGACCCCAGGGCTTTAATTTGAACAATCTTGGTAAGGGTCTACCAGACGATACCTTATGCAAAATATCTAAGCTCTAGGCCTTTTGGGTTTTTACAAGAAGGTATTTTAAGTTTTTACTATATGTACATAGTGAAAATCAATGACCCCCGGGGCGGGGCCAATTTTGACCCCAGGGCTATAATTTGAACAATCTTGTTAGAGGTCTACCAGACAATGCCTTATGCAAAATATCTAAGCTCTAGGCCTTTTGGGTCTTTACAAGAAGATTTTTTAAATTTATTCTTATAATTCCTTTTGGTTGCCATGGCAGCCAGATTTCTGCATGGAATTAAATTCTTTGAACAACTTTGGAAGCCCTTCACCCAAGGAACAATCCTGCCAAGTTTGGTTGAAATTGGAATCGTGGTTTTTCACAAGAAGATTTTTTAAGTTCACTATATAATCTATATAACACACACACAAACACACACACAAACACACACACAAACACACGCACACACACACAGGTGAATCGCTATATGCCACCGCATCGCAGATGCTGCGGTGGCATAAAAAGGGGCAAAACAGAGTTATCTTTCTTGGCACTGCGCCCTCTACCACTGTGTGCAGTTTAAACAAATTATGTCAAAGGTTTTCAGGTTATGCTGTGAACAAGATTTTTCTAAAAGGGGAGATAATTCAAAAATGGGGCAAAACAGAGTTATGGTTCTTTGGCACTGCACTTTGCCTCAATTCCCTCTACCACTGTGTGAGTTTAAACAAATTATGTCCAAGGGTTTTCAAGTTATGTTCCGGAAAAAACAGATGGACAGACGGACAAGGCGGCGACTATATGCTCTCCCTTCAGGGAGAATGATAAAGGGAAGAGTTATCATTCTTATGCGCTACATTCCTCCTCAATGTGATCAATCAATCTATGAAGTTTAAATTTGGAATCTTAAATACTTTTATGGGTGTCAGACAGATAGGGGTCTATCACCTTATCTCCCGATGCCTTTTCAGCAAGGGAAATAAATTAAGCTACCAAAATTATAGAGCATGGTCAGACTGCACCAATGTGCAGGTTAGCCTGGCACTAAACTTGTGGCCAATGATAATCCTTTTAGGCTCCAGCAGATTAAATCTTTGTGTTAAAAACTAAAATGAATTTAACAAAGATCAGAACATTTTAGTGAAAATTCCTATTTTGAAGATTTGAGAATTTATTTGAAGTACATGTACATTGTAAAAATCATTATTTTGGTGTCAAGGTGACCTTAGGTCATATTTCAAAATAAAGCACTTGTCGCAGGTACTTGACTATTAGTTATGACTGTCAATAGACATGTTTGATAAAAACATCACATTTTTTCCTTGCTATGAAAATTTAAAATAACATATTCATGCCTTAAGTCATTCAAACTGCTGCATATCTACCATTTGAAGCAACATTAGCCCCCAAAAGGGAGTATATTTTTTATTCTTTAGAAAGGACAAACATGTGTTTTATACTCTTTAAATACATATAAGCAGGTTTGGTGTTTATCACCTGAAAAAAGTAGCCAAAAAATTACATGTATTACAAAATTCCAAGAATGCTGAAAACAGTAAGATTGTTCAGCTTCAAATGTACGAGTATATATGGTCAATGTGTAACTTTTTGAAAACGGTAACTGGACACCAGAAATTACGGTTTGAGAAATAAATGTAAAATCAATTTTGAGATTTAAAGGGCCTTTAAAACAACCTAATATCTTTGTATATTTATAGTATATAAGAAACTTTTGCTCTTATATATGACCAATGTGTGTACAAATACATGCTTATAGTTATACTAAAGCTTATACTTACAGTTATATTAAAGCTTACCTCTTGTTGAGAACATGTAAGGGGAACCAGACAGTTCATTTAAAGGACTTTCAGTTGCTGTATTAATTGGTTTCTGGCTGATTGGATTATGTCTAATTCTCTTGTAGTGGTAATACACAGATGTAGCTAAGACTATCTTAGCCCGCTCTTGTCCTACCACATATTTGTCAAGGTAGGCCTTCAACTATGGCAAAAAGAAATAATTTCATAAGTAGTGAAATCCCTTGCCCCTTAGAAGATGATAAATGATTTGTGAAAATCAGTAAATCCTTAACTTCATGAATGTTTTAAATGGACTTGATCTCCTTCCATTTTTGGAACTATCTATTTTAAATTTTAGGAATATCAAAATGAAAATGAAGTCAGTCAGCCAATAGTATAGATGCTGGTTAGACTGCTCACTTTTGGTTCTGAGGAGTGTAAGGGTTTAAATGAATAGAAGAAATTGGCCAATGAATTTACCAGTGTAATATGTACAATTCAATAATGACAAACAATATGATACACTAATAATTGTAATAATAAAGAAGAATCTCTCATAAGATCACAGTCCAAAGTTATAAAGAAATTTTTATTTTAAGTGTTTGGTTTGTCTGAAACCAGCACAGAATGTACACTAACCAATAAAAATCAGGAAATTCAAAAAAGATAAAAAAATATTTTATTACTTCAAGACTATTACTAGAACTATCACTAAATGTGATTAATACCCCCACAAGACTGCTTCGGAAATGAGGATGTTACTAGTAACAGAATATCTTGTAAAAGAATTGAAATATAGAGTTATGGTTGTGGGCAATTAAAGATAGTTGTGGTTCTTGTATATTGCATTTCCTTTCAATGTGGTTGGCCATTGATGAAGTTTTATTGAATTACTCTGTAATAAGTCCATAAAGACAAAGAAAAGGAACAAAGGGCAATAACTCTATAAATACTGAATATGGAGTTATAGTTCTTGTGCACTGCACTTCCTCTTTTTGTGCTTGACCATTGTATGAAGTTGTTTTGAATTTCACCCAGTACGTTTTAAGTTATGCTCCAGACAAGGAAAAGTATCAAAGGGCAGTAACTCTGTATTTTGTCAAAATGGAGTTATGGCTCTTATGCACTGCACTTCCTTTTAATGTCCTTGACAACTGTATGAAGTTGTACTGAATTCCAAACAGTAGTTTTCAAGTTATGCTCTGGACAAGGAAAAGTAACAAAGGGCAATAACTCTGTTATTTGTCAAGATGGAGTTATGGTTCTTGTGCACTGCACTTTCTCTCAATGTGCTTGACCATTGTATGAAGTTATATTGAATTCCAACCATTAGTCTTCAAGTTATGCTCCTGACAAAAAAAGCAATGGAAAAGTAACAAAGGGCAGTAACTCTGTAATTACTTTAGATAGAGTTATGGTTCTTATGCACTGCACTTCCCCTTACTGTGTTTGACAATTGTATGAAGTTGTTTTGAATTCCAACCAGTAATTTTCAAGTGATGCCCCGGACAAGGAAAAGTAACAAAGGGCAGTTACTCTGTAATTAGTCAAGATAGAGTTATGGTTCTTGTGCACTGCACTTCCTCTCAATGTGCTTGACCATTGTATGTAGTTATATTGAATTCCAACCATTAGTCTTCAAGTTATGGTCCGGACAAAAGAAAGCAATGGAAAAGTAACAAAGGGCAATAACTCTGTAATTACTTTAGATAGAGTTATGGTTCTTGTGCACTGCACTTCCCCTTATTGTGTTTGACAATTGTATGAAGTTGTTTTGAATTCAAACCAGTAGTGTTCAAGTTATGCCCCGGACAAGGAAAAGTAACAAAGGGCAGTTACTCTGTAATTAGTCAAGATAGAGTTATGGTTCTTGTGCACTGCACTTCCTCTCAATGTGCTTGACAATTGTATGTAGTTATATTGAATTCCAACCATTAGTCTTCAAGTTATGGTCCGGACCAAAGAAAGCAATGGAAAAGTAACAAAGGGCAATAACTCTGTAATTACTTTAGATAGAGTTATGGTTCTTGTGCACTGCACTTCCCCTTATTGTGTTTGACAATTGTATGAAGTTGTTTTGAATTCCAACCAGTACTTTTCAAGTTATGCCCCGGACAATGAAAAGTAACAAAGGGCAATAACTCTGTAATTAGTCAAGATAGAGTTATGGTTCTTGTGCACTGCACTTCCTCTCAATGTGCTTGACCATTGTATGTAGTAATATTGATTTCCAACCATTAGTCTTCAAGTTATGGTCCGGACAAAAGAAAGCAATGGAAAAGTAACAAAGGGCAATAACTCTGTAATTACTTTAGATAGAGTTATGGTTCTTGTGCACTGCACTTCCCCTTATTGTGTTTGACAATTGTATGAAGTTGTTTTGAATTCCAACCAGTAGTTTTCAAGTGATGCCCCGGACAAGGAAAAGTAACAAAGGGCAATAACTCTGTAATTAAGTCAAGATAGAGTTATGGTTCTTGTGCACTGCACTTTCTCTCAATGTGCTTGACCATTGTATGTAGTTATATTGAATTCCAACTATTAGTCTTAAAGTTATGGTCCGGACAAGGAAAATGCAACGGACGTCTGGACCGACCGACCGACCAACCGACCACCGGGTGACTCCTATATACCCCCCCAAACTTCGTTTTTGGGGGTATAACAAGTTGTATTGCTTCCAATAGCGATTTGTGAATTAAAGTAACTAAACCACACATTACATAAAATGCTTCAACGGTTAAAATTATAGCAAGATAAAAGTGCAAAATCTTTAATGAGTTGTTATTTCTGGGAGCAAGAAATAAATCAATCATCGTGTGTTATGTAAATGTATTAAACTGTAAAGCAATTGAATGTTTTGATGACAGTGCTTTTCCAAAAGAGTTTAAAGGCCGGGGAATGTGAACTCAGATATCCGTACGGATGGCCATTAAGCATATTATGTACAAGAGGCGGGGTTTTATTATCATGACCTGAGGTCAGCATGCTTGTAAATATAAACATGTGGTCTGCAATAGTATAGGAGAGTTCAGCATTCAGGAGAGATAAAGAAGTTGTGTATTTATTGGGGGGTAATGATTTTGCAATTTGATGAAAAGGTCATAGCAGTGCTGTCAGGATGTATATTGCAATTACATATTTTTACAATGAAGAGTATAATCTATGAAATCGGTGATAGTCAGTATATACAAACAGTAAATACTAATTGTTTAGAAATGCCTTGTATAATGTAACTTACATTTATCTGTTTGTCCACTTGACTCTTTTATTTTTTTGGGAAACAAAACTTATTTTTTTATGAATTCTGGTGAACTAAATTATGGTTATGAAAAGTAAAGTTAAAAATATAAAATGTTTGTTTCATTTTCACTTTCAATGAATTCTATTAGGAAACAGTGTACACAAAACCTATCGTTATTTTCACATAATATGTACAAATCACTTATGATCCATTAGTTTGAATACAATGTATATTGTTTTATTTATTGTCTATGTTGTTGTCTTACTCTGTGCGGCCGGTAGATAGTATCCATATATTTATTCCAGATTTGGTCTCTGTAGTTGTAAGGCTTGTAATTCTTTTTACCACGTTGCCTGCGTGGTGCTCGTGGATCTTTTGGATTCAATACTGATGTATGATCCCGGTCAACATTGTGATTCCAGTGCAGAACACTTAGCATTGACCGGACTTGATATGTGTCATCACTGAATGCAATCCTCTTGTCCTGGAAGATGTTCATCACATTATTGAACGATTCCACGTATGATGTGTCCCTAGCCAGTATATAGTCTTGGGGAGATTTATAAATCACCGACTTTTCAATTACAGTCTGTAACATTTTTTCTGCTTTTTGGTCAGTAATGACTGTCCTTAAAGGTTCATAGTTAGGATCTTTTTTGCATCTGGATGTTTGGTGACAATAGCTGTGCTCATTTTTTATAATGTGAGGTAATATTCTTCAGAAGTTTCTTCAGATTTTTCCGGATTGCTCGCGCAGTTTCTGATTGCCCATTGAAAATGAGTGGCAATTGGTTCAACCTTGTCTACCAACTGCTCCGACCAAGTATTCCCTTGCTTGTATTTTGGTCCAGAAGATATCGCTTTCATTGCTTTCTTCACAGATTTCACTCCATGCCATGAGTCATTCTGGTTCAGAGTATCAGGCCTGTCTTTCACCATCTTATTAATGGACATGTTCCTGTCGTGTGTATGCACATTCACAGTTACATCTTTGGAATCAAAGTATTCATATGCTTTTTCAGTTCCAACTTTCTCATGTCTCTGTGACACAATATCATCAGACTTTGTTACAGTCACACATTGAAGGACTTTGTGTGATTTTTCACCAAGCGCAACGATGCTGCTGTTTTTGGCATTTTTTCTCCAACCATGCCGAGCGTCAGTCATGATGTCAATGCCATTGAGGTCTTCATACCAGGCGATTTCCTCAAGTAAAGCTTCATCAATTGATGATTCATATGCCTCCTTGACACTTTGATTGAAGACCTTTGATATGTTTTGTCTCTTTGGTTTGTTATACTACCAATATTTGCTGTATCAGCAAACCTTGTGTAGTGAACAGGCAGCATTCCACTACATGTTATTGCATGATGCATTCTGTGGTTGACAAGAAATTCATTATTTGGCAGGTAGGGTGACGACGACCACTTGGTAATGTGTGGGTTCTCTGCATTATTGCAGTGAAATGAATTACCACTACATGTCCGCGGTACCCAACACACTTTTTACAATTTTCTGTTTATGTCTACATAACCTAGCATGATTTTCTGATATTGTCACCAGCCGTTGCAACGATGTTGATGCCGTCACAAATAGGCTATCTTCAGTGTCCTTTCTGTCCACTTGTGCAAAAGATATAGTTGTTGAGTCGTCTTTCTCACTAGGATCATGACTGTCAATCCAATAATTGAGAACAGTATCTAAAATATCACCATTGTTGACTGCTCTCTTTAATGATCTTGTCAATCTGTCCCTTACATGTTGCATTTTTTGCATAAATTCCTGATTTTTGTCAGATTCACTAGGTATTTCAATTTTAAAACTAGGTGGTCTTCTACTATTCATGTTCAATAATTCCCAATGATCAACCTTGTATACGTGTATAATATTCCTTTTTATTTTGATATTTAGTCACAAAGAGTTGAAGTGTTATGATAGGGATTTGGTATATATCTTAGGTAATTAATTAGTTGGGGGAGTCCTTCTGTATCTAGGGTGAGGAAGATGGCAATATATTAATTTTAATCAAATTATGGCATTGTCAAAATTCAAGGTATTATACCTTAGATGTGTTTCAATTGTAATTTAGACTGTGTACATGAACAGAGTCGAATTATATACTAAATAATAATGCATTTATTTCACTTTTTCTTTAGATTACATACTTTACCTATTACACTAGATAGACTATTCCAATTTTGTGTTAGAACTGACCAATACCTCACCACTCGATCATAAAGTAATAACAGTGATTTTATCTATAGTGCAAATGAGAAACACATGTTCCATGCTGTGTACTTGTGCAGTGTGTGTAAATAATCAGTTTGCAGAGAAAGATCATTCTGATATATATCTAAATTATAACATTACATGTATATAAATTATTGGTGTGCTAATAGTGATTTGGACTTGGATACTTTGTTCAATGGCTGAGGAAACTATCAGGGTAACGCTTGAATTATTACCAGAGCAATTAGAGACAATTAATCAACTGTTTAATTATAATGACTGGGACTACAGGGAAATTCAAAGACAAAACATAAGTTCAGAAGTGTCAACTCAAACTTGTAGAGAAGATGAAAATGATAGCAATGTGACAAACTTTCGGATCTAACAAGATCATGACCAAGAAGAGTGTATTTACTGTCTGTGTAGGCCATGTATAACAGATGAAAGGAACAGGCAACTTTGGTGGGAATCTGAAAATAGCCCTCCCAACTCAAGGAATAGCAGCTTACGCAAGGAATTGTACAAGCTCTTTTGGACAATGCTACTTCATCGTAATGCATGGTCAGATCTGCGTTATGTCGAAGCAAAAACTGCTGCTCTACAAGGGGACAGGCGATTTAGAAAATATGCGTGATATTATACCGAAATGTGTTTTAAACATTGTGAGGGAGTGGTTCACGAATCCAGTTGGTGAACCATACATGGGCCACTTGTGGGAATAGACAGTGATGCACATTTGGGTGATACATAAATTTGAATGTTTCTTTTACAGAACAATCAATATATCAACAATTAACTTATAGTGATGTCATTTCAAGTTAATAAATTCATGATTGTAGGGATGGAATATAACACAATCAGTAAATAAAAATTCAAGTTCATTGCTTGCATATTATTTCTCTGGTAGTATTTATTGCCCTAGTAATTATTTCCCCCCCCCCCCCCATCTTATACCTAGAGAGATGTAGTTGGCTGAGAGAAAGGTCATAACCTCTGTACAACTGTCAATCAAATACACAGGGAAATTTGAATTTTTAACTGTTTTCAAAAAAAGATTTTTTTAAAGTAGTACTTCTAAGTATCACAGATAGAGATCTGTAACTTTCAAGGAATGTTGCTTACATGATAAAGAAGTGATGTGCCAATTTATAGCAAATAATATGAGATATGTCTCTCTAAATTTTGAAATTTCATTTTTCTATCTCTCTCTGATTATGCTAGCAGACAGCATACAGAGTTCAACAGCAGTGGCCATTTTTCTGCTTGTCTGCCTTTTATACTTGTTCCCAGGCCTTTTAAGTACCTGTGTTTGAAAGTAGCTTTTTTAGTAGTTATATTAATGATTCGAAAGAGACTATGTTCACGCTTGATAATTAATTACCTCTTTTGGTGATTTGAGGGCTTCTTCTCTTGCAGCAGGTATTGGTTGCTGGTCCTCATGAACCTTCATGTAGAAGTGAAGACATTCTAGACATAATGTATATCTGGGATGACCTTAACAAATAACATAAAAATATAGAATACAAGAACTTTCAAAAACTTGACATTTAAACCTCAGTGCCTCAAAATATGTAAACAAAGTTTTAAGAATTCAAACTTGAGGAAAAAATTTAAGAAAGAAGATTTGTAAAACATTTTAAATTTTCAGTATTTTCCCGGTTTCTATTTTTTTAGGGACCCCCAACCCAAACAAGTTTTTGAATTTATAATTAACCCAAAAATGGGAAAAATTTTTAAAATTTTTTAAAACAGATTTAATTAACTTATTCCCTTGGTTTTGCTTTCAAGGGGGGTATATAAAATGTTTTAAACAACAAATTCCTTTAAAAATTTTTCTATTTTAAAAAACCCGTTTTTTTTAAATACCTTTAAAACGGGTTAAATTTCTTTTTTTAAAGGTGAACCACATGAAGGGCATCTAAAATGTCCATCTTCATTACTTTTCTTGCCACTACCGCCATGACCTCGACCTCGGTTTGATCCAGATTTCCGACTACCACAGTTAGAGCTACTTGTGTGTACTGACAGTGCCAATGGAGAAAAGACTGATTCTATTGCTCTACCAGTAATTACAGCAAGCCTGTATTGATCTTCTACCTTTCCTGTAAAAATTAATACAAAACATTTTTACTACATTCTGTAACAAGAACTGTCGGAGGACAGTAACGCTGGACTATTCTAAAAGTTGTCAAAAGGATGTTTCATAGAGTATAATAATGCTTACCTATATGAAAACATAAAATTGTCGAAAAAGGTACAAAGGGTTGTTATTCAGATGTTTAATGGAATTAATCACTGCTTTATATGAATGCATAAAATTGTTCCAAAAAGCACAAACCCGTCAGTAGTTATGGAGATACCAGCTTACACGCAAAAACTTAACCAAGAATTTCTAAGTCCAAAAAGGGGCATAAATATGCAAAAAAGCAAATCAGAGTTATGGAACTTGTGCCAATGATCTTAGATAATCACAGTGAACAAGTGTATGAAGTTTCAATCCATTCCCTTCAGTAGTTATGGAGATACCAGCTTACACGCAAAAACTTAACCAAGAATTTCTTAGTCCAAAAAGGGGCATTAAATTATGCAAAAAAGCAAATCATAGTTATGGGACTTGTGCCAATCATCTTAAATAATCTCAGAGAACAAGTGTGTGAAGTTTCAATCCATTCCCTTCAGTAATTATGGAGATACCAGCTTACACGCAAAAACTTAACCACAGGGACAAATGGGTGACTGCATTGGCTCAATTATTCTGCGAATAGTCAAGCTAAAAATTAAAATGAAAACAATCATATCCCGAGAGATTAGTTCAGTTACACCTTAACTGCATTAATTTAACTTGTTCCATTTACACACAAACACACAAACACCGTAGAATGTCACACTTCTATTCAATGAAACATTTCCAGGAATAAGTACATACTCAGGAACAGAAGCATTGACTTTCATAATAGTGAGCTCGAAGATCTGGCCTAAAGGGCCTGCTCGCAAAGCGAGTTTTATGGTAACGCGAGTACCTGCTAGATAGTGATGGTTTTCAATACTTTCGTCCGAAGTACTGAATTGACACATCACAAAAACCGACGTATTCTGATTGAAAACAGAAGCGTAGACTGGTGTCCTGCGCACTTATATGGGAACCATAATTGGACAAGGAACCAGAATAAACAGAAGCAGTGTATAAAATACAGAACGGAAAATGTTAAATAAAAATGAACGATTATTTTATACTATTTCACAGTAAAAGTAAATCGAGCTCGCTTTGAGGCTTTGCCTTTTTCATATAAGTTGTTTTTTCACATAACATACTTTAATTTGTTACAATTTTGCGACTGCGTCATGATTAAAGTTATCTTTGCTAATCTACCAAATCTTGTTTCAAAATAAGATATTAATGAAATAGGAACAAAATGTAACTTAGTATTATTTTTGCGTAATATTATTTTGTACATGTATTAGAAAGTTTTGAAAGTTTCAGTGTAAAATCATTTCAGTTGAATACCACTGATTCTATCCTAGTCCAATATATGAGACGTTATGGCTTGTTTTAGTTCATGATGGTCAAGCGCTTTGACATGAAGTAAAAAAATATCTCAAACTTTTAAAGCAATGTCATAATTTTCAACACATTTACAGTATAGGACTAGATTCTATCAGCCTGCGAAATAAGCAGTTGTCCTATTGCCAGAGACAACCATTTTTTGGTCCGGACAACCAATATTTAAGTTTACTTGCCCGATGGACAGGTAAAAATTTGTAGAGAGTATTCATCAAAATGTCAACGAATAGTGATAAAATAAAAGATATCAAATACAATTAGCTTTGCTTCAATATGACCTATTCCTGCGATTTGATCATAATTGCTTGGAATGTTCTGATGAAATACTGGCAACCGTTGTTACTTCGGAACAGTTTTCCTTAGAATGGTCCGAATTCAACAATTTTACCCTATCAGTCTGAGTTTCATATATTTATGGGCTCTGTAAAGCAAGTTTTTTCAATTTTGATAGAGTATTTACTTATTGTGGTCTATATTATGGTCCTATGAGTCGCCGGTTGCTAATGTTATTATCGCGAATCTTTTCGAACTATTAAGCAAGAGACATTCTATTACCTTTATCAAATGGATTATTTTTGGCGGGGACTGGAATGTTAGAGTAAGGAATAGGCCAGTTTCTATACTTTGTGATTCAATTTTAAATTTCGACGATTTGAATTATTACCCGATGACCTTCCGAACCTCATGCGAATCGTATTGCAATAGAGGTATTAAAAAGTATAGATTCTGTGTAAGTCAACAGTTTGCGAATTGCCTAAGCGTTATTAAACGGACTCCATTCATTTTTAACCGTATTCAAAGCGTGACAATCGATTACTCTTTTGTTGAAAGTGTTTCACGTACTAATATCTTTGAATATTACTTTCACAATTTAGCGACCAGTTGCAGCGTTGTCGTTAATTATAACTGCGAATGAGCCGTGTCAGTACAGTAAGAGTGTACATTCTCCGTCACCATTTTTCCTATTAAATGGGAAGCGATAAAAGCTCCATTTAGAAGCCAATTTATTGAAATTTGAAATATTTTTATATATGTTTTGATGACCTGTGAGTAGATTCAGCGTAACGCAGTTTCGCGAGCTATTTTAGACGCGGGGATCATATTTAACAGAGGTGCCATTGTCACAAATACGCCCTACGAAGTTTAGATGGAATGGGCTTTGGATAGGTTATTAGAGCAGTTTATCCTTTGGCACTTGTTGTTAAGATTTTACCTTTAAAAAATCAGTTAGGAGATAAAATACATGCTATTTGTAATTTAATAACTAAAAATTCTGATTTAAGTTCTTTCTAGGATATTTCATGTAATTCTTTTTTGATGAGCTGAATTGATATTTTACTGAAATATATAATTATTTATTGAGAAGTCATTACTTTGATAAGGTATTACTGTATGATCTTTAATGAACAAATCCAAGTCTATCAGACACCTAGTTTCAGTTTAGAATCTTGACCAATGATGAAATGTTGTCTAATGTTACATTCTCTGAACTACTCAAGTCCAGAAAGAGGATTATTTCATTGCCTTTGATATAAATCTATTTTTAGAATTGGAAGTGAAAGTAATCAAGGGTAGTAATTGTGTAAGCATTATGAACAAAGTAATAATTTGGTTGTTGCCTTTGATTAATTCTATTACCAAATCTGGATATTTCATCATCGTTATGACCTTGACTTGTATATATTACCTAATATATGTATCACCATGATCTCTTGATAATGACCATTTGTTTACAATCCTCAATAAATAATGACTAATTCCACTACACATCTTCTATTTTGTTATCTGAACTTTGACTCATGTGTGCCTTAGACTTGCGCCAAGACCGAATCTTGCACGCGACCTCCGCCTCAAGATGGATGAAGCATTTTGTGCCAGTAATATTGAAAGTCCTTATATTACATGTGGAATGTTTTGCTCCGGACAGCATTTTTCAATGACTTAGTGTGCCGTTGACCTTTGACCTAGACTGGTTATGCTGCGCGAACAACTTTCTTATAGTGGTGACATTTCTATGAGTTTCATTAAATCCTCCATAATGTAGGAGATATTCTCCGGACGAAATTGAGCCGCCGCACGCCGACCGCCGCCGCAGGGGCGCTTCCCATATACTCCCGCTTTTCAAACGCGGCGTATACAAAGATATACGGGATATCTCAAATAAAGAACACGCCGCTGATTTATAGTTCTCCATGTTCGATGTATGATGTTTAATGCTTAAAGATGAAATATTAAAAACACGTAATTTTATTCTAGAGAACTGCAGTCTGATTATATAGGGCGCAGTTGTGCGAGCAAGAACAGGTTCTTCAAAATATTCACAGCAAAAGGAATACGTGCACACTAAATAAAGAAAACAGGGAATTACCGATCTACAAAATAAAAGCTCGTGACTTCTGGAACTTTTAAGACAATTAATATTCAATGGTATATAATCGCGGATGAGTTTTAAGACACTCATTTCTTGAATTATTTAGTTGCATATTAGACAACTTCATTGTAATATGTTGAAACTTTAACGAAATTCTGAATTTTATGTGAATATTCACATATCAGTGAACTTAATGGCCTATATACGCTACAGAGGTTATCACACCAGTAAAAAAGTTAAGCGCAAAACATCATCGTTCCTAGTATCACTATAATTACGAATATTTAATAGAAACAATTAATCTACTTGGTACATATTATGATTTATTCACAAAGTGTTCATTCTGGACAATTCCGAAATCCTGGTCTCAGATTTTAGTGCTATCTTTAAAGGGGGATAAAAGTTGCAAATAATTATCGTGGGATTTTTAAGCAATCTGGGAACTTATATACAAGTATATACTGACAGGTAGATTGAAATGTTCGAAAAACAATTTATTTCAGAGTCGTTTGGTTAAAGGTAGGAGTACAGTTATGCGGCTTGTATTACAAACTAATAGAACACATCTTTATTCACAAGTGGATGCAT